ATAATAAATTAAACATAAAATTACTCATAAAGAGTACATATTTAAGTATGATTTTCAGTTTTTTATTCTAATTAAAAATATCCTTTGTGCGTTAATTAAAATCCATGCATATAATTATATATATATATATATATATATATATATATATATATATATATATATATATATATATTAATAAACTTAATAATTAACTTAATTATAATATTGCGCAATTGATCTTTACATTTATACAGACAATCATACGATATATAACTTAAGTATATGATATCGATATTAGAGCCTTAAAATGCTTTTATACTTATTTTGTGTATATAAGACTAACATCAATTATTGCGTGTATGACTTTCAGTATAAAATCGATTAACAATAAATAAGAGTAAAACTTAATAAAATTTATTAGAATGCAAAAGTTTTGTACAGAAATTAACAATTATATGCTTAAAATAGATTTTGCAGATTCTTTTAAAAGTATAGAACCGTAATTTCATTAAATAAATAAACAATGTATTGGCAACAATATCTCAATAGTATATAATAAATTTAATTATTTTTATACTTTCGTTAATTTCTAATAATAAAATCATATTGTCAGCATTACACAAAATTTATTGTCTCTGTAATGTGTGGCATTATTCATATTAAATCAAATTAAGTTAAAATTTTGGCATTATATTTATTTTTATAAGTATTTCACATAAATATTAAGAGAAAATTATAATTCCTAAGAAAATCAAGTATTTTTTTGTCTCATTGGAAAATATATAAATTATTTGAATTATATGTAAAACTGATTTTTGTTCACAATATGAAATAAAATTGATACAATAGTATAATAATAATAATAATAATAATAATATCAATAATCATACTATCTACATATAATAAAAATGGTAATAAAAGAAGTAATCATTATAAAATTACATATAGTAATAAAAAATTGTGATAGCTATTGGTATTACAGAAAAAAGTACATAATGCCATAGCACTTTTATTAATTTTTTTTCCTTTCCCGTGAAAATTATCATTTAAAAATTAACTTATTAAGTGTATGTTTCGTTGAATACAATTTTGGTATATATAAAGACAAATAGTTTCCCTATACTTTATCATTGCATCGATTGAGTAATGAATGGATAATTTTTCGACTAATAGACAAGTAATATAATTTTCAAACAAAAAATTTCCATATCTAAATATTACAAGCTAAAAATGTGAGTATGTTATTACATTATAATGTTGTGTTATGTGGTTGGCGATTGGGGAGGGGTTGGGAAAGGGGTGAGTGGGGTGGGGGGGGTGGGGGGGGGGGGGGGGGGGGGGGGGGGGGGAAATTGGAGACACAATGACCCTCAAATATGTTCTTTATCATTCAATTTACGAAACATGCCTCGCTTCTGCGCTGTACATTAACACGATATTTGATCGATTCTCTGCTCTGCTTCGTATGTCGTATCGCACTCCAGTCCAAAGATCAGTTTTTGACGATGAGAATCATTTAGAGTGAGAACAGTGAGCTTCGCCCCAAACATCATATATAGAGATGAAGCCTCAAATCATATCGATTGCCGTTTCTGGTAGACATAAAAAAAAAAGCCAAGATTATTGAGTATACTTATCCAGATATAAAATTGTGTAACGTGACAAATACGATCAGATCTTTAAGAGATTATTCGGCATACTTACATTGGCGCATATTGTGTGAGCGAATAAGCTTACGTGGCTATTTACTTGCTTTTATTGAAGTGGCACAATGTCGATCCCATTTTCAATTTTATCATAGCAACATTATTAACATTACGATGTCGTATTATATTTTAACAGGTATTTTTAATTTAATGTGGATCGTTTAATTGGAATAGGATAATACATTTTCATTATCTTGTTGAAATTGCCTGATTTATACGAGTTAATTTGCGATTTGTAATTAAGTACATTAAAACTTTCTAATTGATAATAATAATAATTTATTTCCATATTATCAAATTATGTTTGTACTTAAATATTAAAGAAATATTTGTAAAAATTACAAGTTTTTATGATTGGAATAAAATAAAATCCATAACTTTCGTTATAATTATCTTTTTTTCCTATTAAATAGTTTGAAAGTTGAGAAAATCCTATAAATTTCTAGTAATGTTTATAATAATTTTACATTGCTTTTGCATCTCTTAAAATTTTTACTCCATGTCTTTAGATATAATAAATAAGAACGTTGTAATTATCTGCAATTGATTAGAACATAAAATTTCCAGTCTTATCCAATCCCTCAATAATAATTTTGTAATTTTTTATATCGACTTTTTTTTAGCTTCGATATTTGATGTAATATATCGATAAACTTTTAATTAGTATTAATTTCTATATCTTACATGGGTTTTATTTTTAATAATATCGTATAATTACGATGTGTGCGCGCACATGATAATTTTTTAAAGAATATTAGAAAAATATTTGAATAAAATATTTCGAGAATTAGATCAGAAAGCAATTTAGTATGTATTAGTTTGAAAAATTATATTTATAAATCCTCTTTTACATTTATTCCCAAAATATTAGAATTATTATAATATAATTTTGAGTAAACTGTTTATTTCAAAATATAGAATATGTAAAATGTTTTGCTCGTAAGAATCGCATTATTACAATAAACAGAGATATAAATGATGATTGTTCTACGTGGAGCATAATCACTATAACGCGATCACGCATTTTAGTAATTATACATTATCGCATTATCTTATTATTAATGAGATGACATCTTGGATATGATTTTTGTACAAATCTTTTCAATGATAACGCATAGTTATAATAATGAGTATGATCGATCGCTCTTCATAATCTATGTCTCTTTTCAACATAACCGCGGCCAGATTCGATTCGATTCGAAGACTCATATATTGCATATCGCAAAATTGTCGTCATTGTACGTTGCGAGTAGTAACGTACCAAAGCCAATACCGATATATGTCGATATGACAATTTCGTGCGCTCATTTCAATCCTTAAGTTTAAAAGGAACGAATATTAGCGCCACGTTACGTTAATTCTTAGCGCGTATCCGGAAGAACGCGCGCTCAGTTTCTCCGAGGACCTTCGTTGCGTCTTATCGCACCCTCGCGACTCTTTCTGGTAGCTTACATTGCACTGCATTTTTCGTCTCAACGACAGAAAGAAAGAAAGAAATAAAGAGAGAGAACTCTCTATTTCAGTGTGTCACGCGCGGTCGTCTAAATTGAACGACTTTTCGCGAGTGATTAGATGCGGGTGGGGGAGTTGCACGTTGTGTTTTCAGGTTTGATGTGAAACATTACTTACCATTACTTACCAATGCTCGCTCTTTTACTGTAAATCTCGACTCACGCATGTGCTTTTCTTATTAATTTTCAATTAACAATTGAATATTCTCGATTCACACAATGCGAACAAGCTATTTTTAATTTTATTTAGTTTTCACAATTGAGAACTGATTTTAAGTAAGAAAGAAAAACAATTTTCAAGAGTTAATACTTTAAACTTTAAATTGTGTAAAATTTCTGTCTTATTCTTTCGAATTTTACTGAATTAAATATTCAATTTATCGAAGGGTAAAAATAAAAATTCTTCTATTTTAGCAGTTTCGGTATTTTTAATCGTATGAAATTTAAAATAAAATACGGTTTCTTACTATTATCACGATTCATAAATTGCAAATACTTTTACAAAATTATTATAAGAAACTTATGTAGTATGGATAAATAAAATAAAAATCTATAAAATACATATAATACACGAAGATAAGAACTTTGTAATTAATATTAAATTAATTTTATATAATTACACTCACTTCTCCTGTCAAACAAAATTTTAAAATCTATTTTTCTTAAAAAGATTTGCCAAAATACGCGCAAGTTAAAAGACTCCTTTCAAAGTTGTTACAAATTGGATTAAAAACATAAGGATATATATATATATATATACTTTTTATATATTTATTTATATATAATAAATAAGTAAACATATTTGATTTCATTAATCATTTTACAATCCATAAAATTTATATTTTCGTATGTTTAAAACTGTAAGACATTCAAAATGCTAATTTATCTAAGAACTTTTTCTTTATAATTTTAAATTTCTTTTACTTCATTATAATTTTTTAATTTTTTAATTTAGTATCCCTTATTTCAATAATTCAAATAACAATATATTTCGTGAAAAAAAATTGATAGCAAGTTAATGTTTTATATTGCATTTTTTTTTCTTCATTTTATATAGGGTATATGACGATACTTATTCAATATTAATAAAAATAAATAAATAAATAAATGCTCTAGTAGAATTAAATATTTATATTCTTGACTAACATTATTATTATTATAGTAATATAAATTATACTTTGAAATAAAATTTTTTTTTTTTTAAACACTTGAGTTTGGAACAATTGGAATGTCCTACATTTGTAGTATCGCTTGAATTTTATCGCAATTTATACAGCTTTTACCAATTAACATTTGTTTTGGAATGCTTAAATTATTAAAGTTTGGTAATTATAAACAACATTTTTAAATCAATTTTCCGAATAATGAAACATGAATATTCAAATTATAAAATCCATACAAGTCAAATTATTATGTCGTCTCTAAAAATTCTATGAAGAAATATAAGTACAATATGGAATTAATGAGAAAATAAAAATGGAAATCAGTATAGCAATATTTTAAAAATAATTATAACCTAAAAATTGCAAGTTTATAATGTATAAACTAAATAAGTAACCTTTAAATTAAATTTAATTCATTGTTAAACAATTGAACAATACCGCCCTGTGTCTATGAAAGTAATAACAACGTACGTTTTAAATAAATAAATGTGATTTAATATATATTTTTAATAATTTGCATTATTGCTTCGCACAGATAATGTAGTAAATTTTGGAGTAAATAAACCATCAATAACACCGGTAAATCCATGGTCACGTATCTTACTGATCGGATCCTAAGCACAGTTATTTAAAAGAATGGATGGATCATGTCGCCAACAATTCTATATAAACATTAAAAGAATCCTGCAGATGTGTCGACTTAAAGAGTAAGCAATAAATTTTATTACACGATAGTTCCATTTAAATGTCATTATATATTATTAATAAATAAATTGCATTAACATAAATTACCAAGAGTATTATTACAAATGCTTATAATGACAACGGTGCATTTAGTAAATATGTATCATGCCACATTTATTATTATTATTATTATTACTATTATTAACATCTTAAAATTGTAGGATGAATTTTCTACACTCTATAACTAATAGTTAAATCAGCAAAGAATTTAAAATCATATTCTATAATAGATAATATATTTCAGTAGGTTATCTTAAACACGAGAATTTTATCGTAAAACGCAACTTTCCACTAAATCGCTGATAAGAAAAAAGCAGACCTCAAGCTTGTAAAATTTGTGATAATGAAAAAGCAACTTTTATTTTGCACATAATTAGTTTATAAATAAATATTCTATTGTATAAAGTCTTTTTACTATATAAAGCATTGTAAATGTAAATATCACGCGTTCGTTTCTATTTAAATGAAAATAAAGATACATTCGTGAGAATGCAATTGTTAATACAAACGATGTAGGACGAACGTACCGTGCTCTTCTAATCTTTTATTAAATTACGCAATAGTATTAGGCAAAAATTTTCGCTTGAACTTGAAAACTCTCATAAAGCTTCTTTCTACATATAGAGATCTAAACTGCTTTGTTATATAATCATAATTTTTTTTATATATAGACGGAATCGATTGAAATAATATTTTTAACTCTAGTAGATATTTGGAATCATTCAAATCATTTGAATTCAAAGGACGTTTTAAATCGTGTTAATTGATAAAGAGGTATCTACCATTCCTTTTATTATTAATATATCATTGCTTCTCTTATTAACACGGATTCATGTCGACGCTTTATTCAACATTGTAGATTTTTTTTCTAAATAAAAAGTGAAAGTATGTTTTAATTATGATTCGCTTGCGCTTGAAATGTCGATAAGTTTAGAGATGCAAACGAATTTCATAAAATTTAAGTTATTGAAAAATATCGATCATATCATATAATATAGGAATAAAGTGCCGCTACTTAAGTAATAAGGGATCGCCCCCCCCCTCCCAATAAAGTAAACAATATAATTGTTAAATTAAATTCGAGAAATATTAATCGCTTATATAAAGGAAATTTATTATTTATACGCTCACTTTTATGCACTATCGTCAATTCAAAATTCTTCATTCGATAAATCAAGCTTTCCAATTCCAAAATCAAAAAGGAAAAAAATCTACATTCATCCTATGACGTGACATTATGAAAAACTGTCGGGTTTCTCCGTTTACTTAAGAATTGGAAAATACTTTTCTGAGAACACATGGAAATATATTATTATGTCGAGTGTTCGATTCTTACATTACTATCAATTTCGTGTTATTGTCATGCGCGCGCAGCTCAAGGAAATTCGAGATGAGGTAGGTGGTTATCGGGCAGCGAGCGTTACCGAATGATCATCTTTTTGCGCCGCAGAGTGAAATGGATGAATCAGCAGGCCTGTACAAACGAGGCTTACGTGCCGACCATCGTCGAGCACGTGGCCAACGTTTTTACCCACGGGATCTGGATTGTGCCGGCGTTCCTTGGAGCTTTCGAGCTCATCGAGCGCGCCTCGACCTGGCCAAAATTGCTTTCGGCACTCATCTATGGGTGCTCGCTGCTCCTTCTATTTACCGTCTCCACTATTTTCCATAGCATACATTACTGCTACCATAAGGGGTACGTATCAAATGACGGTTTTTAAATCATTTCAGGTGTTTTTTTGTTTTTTTTGTTTTTTTTTGTTGTTTTTGTTTTGTTTTGTTTTGTTGTTTTGTTTTCGGCGATTTGTATATGAACAGTAGAGTCAGTCGCGTTGTTGTTTTGTCTCGGTGCAGCCGAAGAATTGTGCCAACTGGGAAAATTCGTGACATACTTAAGTGACGAAGCTTATGTAAGTAGAAGCTTATAAAATTCCGCGAGTGTCATCGCCGACTACTCGCTGTCTGCATTATTTGCCTTAGCATTGTAATATAAAGCAATCGAAGCCATAGTAACAATAACAGTCATAATAATTTGAATTTCTATCTATAGATTAACGTGACTCCGTATTAACTCGCTGGTAATTTTAACTTTTAGGCGATTCGTGCACTTGAAAGACTTGTTGCATCGATGCGATCGCGCAATGATCTATGTTTTCATAGCGGCGACGTACTTCCCATGGTTAAACCATGAGCCATTCCAAGGTGACGTTCTACTGCCTACTATGCGAATTCTCATTTGGATAATGGCGGCAGTTGGTATACTTTATCAGCAGATCTTCCACGAGAAATACAAATGGTTGGAGACGACGTTTTATGTGATAATGGGGATTGGACCGAGTGTCGCGATTATTGGTATTGTGAGTATACATAAAGAAAAGTAAACGCCTGCCGGGTGTATTGTTGAAAGGAGCGTTACAGCTGCGATTGAGCAACGATCGCCAATAATGAGATATTTGATCATTTCGGAGCTCCGCGGTCCCTCATGAATAACACGTGATAACGATTGCACGATGGCTCTAGCAAGTGATAACGAAACACATCCCATTAAAATATGCCCGCGAGCGAGCAAAAAGCGAGAGTAGATTTGGCCGCGTTTATGAATAAAAAAAAAAAGAGCCGGCGATAAGGATTAAAAAAAAAAAAAAAAAAAAAAGTAGCGCGCGCTTAATATTACCATCGAAGGAATGCGTAGCGAAGCGCGAAAACCGGAATAGCGGACGAGTGAGAGGAAAAGGACGAAAAAAGGTGTTATTCTCTTGTGCCGTAGAACGAGTACAACAATATACCAGAGTTGAAGATCGGAGGCCTCGCCTATCTTCTGGGCATCGTCTTCTTCAAGTCAGACGGCCGTATTCCATGCGCCCACGCAATCTGGCACCTGTTTGTCGCAATCGGTGCGGGCTTTCACTACCAAGCGATTCGCTACCACCTGTACCCGGATGTCGGAGCGCCACTCTTGGCCCCGGGCGAGCAACACTACACCCTCTTCGCCGCCGGAGATTCTCATCCAGAGTTTTAGATCGCTTGGCCAAGCTCGATGACATTACTGCGGGAATTGTAAGTCTTGAAATTACGAGAGGACCAACGATTCATTCTGCCCGCGCGTTACGAAAAATCTCCATCGGACGTTGTATAGGTGGTGAATGAGGAGGAGGAAAAGGATGAGGATGAGGACGAGGAGGAGGAGGAGAAGAAGGAGGAAGGGAAGGAGAAGGAGAAGGAGAAGGAGAAGGAGAAGGAGGAGAGATTTCGATACGTGAAAATTTTACAAATTTTACAGGCACTCTACTTCATTGGGATGCCACGACAAGTTCGATTCGATAATGCGGACACAGAATAGGGGCTGTGAAACTTAAAAAAACGTAGTTTATTCGTGTAAATAGAACGATGCGCACTGACGATTGTATTTAACGCAGGATTACTTTATAAGCCTTTGATAGGTATACCTACTTTCTCACAGCGATTTACGTTCAATTATGGATTTTAATATTTTTCGGGGTCTTGAGTTTATGTAAGAGTAAATGTAAGCAATAGGCGCGATAGAAATATTCTTCTCTCTCTCTCTTTCTCTTTTAAGTTACTGGTGGATTTCATGTTTATTAATGTTATGATTATGCAAAAGAAATTTGCAGTTACACCATTTATTACTAGTACTTTTTTATATCTGTAAACGATGGTTTTACCAACTTGTTTTAAATGAGCAGATTCAGCAAAAAATTGAAAAAATTGCTTTTATCAAAGCTATCATTTATTTTATAATCTTTAAAAACATTTGAATTTACATTTGAATGTCATTTGAATGCCGACTTGTGATTTCTTGTAATTGTTGTCTTTCTATGATAATTATAAACATTTTTTTTTTTTTAAATTTATTTAGATACTTTATTAAACGCTTTAAATAAAATATTACGTAAAGACATATTTACACATATTTTGTTTTTATTATTAACGATATCACATAGTTTTGAATAGGTGTATTTTATTTTAAAATGTTTGTTTGTATAAATACTACAATAGAGATCGGGGTGCCAGATTTTATACTTAGAAAACTTACAATTATTTTTAGGAATTTTTTTATAGATATGTTTCAATTTGTTAGTTTAACATAGCAAGTTTATTACCACTATTGAAATCTATCACTTCCGATTTCTTTCTCTTTCGTGGCCTTTTTTTTTTTTTTATAATGAATTTCGATATATTTATTCTTCTTGATTTAGAATAATTGATAAAAAAATTTCAGGAAAAATTACTTCGAAGAAATTTGATACGCTATAGGGTTAAGCATAGATCAAAACTTCAATTTACAAAGATAGTACTGTTATTTTCAAGATTAAGCATAGAGCGAGCTAATACGACCGTTTTATCAATTTATTCGTAGAATTACTTTTAAAAAGTCAATAGTCCCGAATAATTGAATCGTTGAAAAAGTGCTGCTAAAATGTAATTTATACATTTATTTTCACAAGCAATCTAAATATTTGAAATTTTTAACTTTTCTAGTCTTTGTGCATTTTGAACTTTTGGAGTTAAACCAGCTACGTTCCGCAAATCGAAACCAATAAAATTATAATTATAATTTTAATTCGGAAGATTAACGAAATCTTATTTTAACAAATTTTATTTCTATTACACTCAGATTTATATCTGGTTAAAACTTGTAAAATCGTCAAACAAAATTTCTAATCAGTTACACTTTGATTAAGATTTATAATAGATTATTCTCTTATCTTACATTTTTTGTGAAAATAATTGAAGAATATATGAATTCGCTTAAAATTATGAACGTAAAATATAAAACATTACTTTTGTAAGCCTTAGTTGTAAGTCGGTAAAAAGCTGTTTTAAAATGTATATAAATACAATATTATATGAACGCAACGACAACGTAAGATTGCGCTTTTAACTTGTTATATATAAATGTTACACTAATAATTTGACGAATGTAAATTAACAACAAATCATTCATTAATGTATGTAAGTTACCCTTTATGGTGAATATTGGAAAAAGTATTGGAAAAAATTTGGTCGACTTATGAAAACTCCAATGCGGCTTATAATAAATATCATTATTAATCGGCTCGTATATTTCAAAACCTATTTATCAAATTTGTTATTATGTAAATATCATAATATTTCAAATTGTTTAAGTCGAATTTGATAGGTTAAAGTTGAACTATATTGAAAAGCTTGACAAATCATTATGCAATGGTATAAAACTATAAATATGCAAATAAAATTGTGTAAGAGTAATTGCGTCAAGTAATTTGTATTATCGATAGATGTTTTATCCATAATACTGACAGCAGAATATTTATGCAATTTTTCTGAACATTTTGAAAGGTACAATTAATTTATTCAATTATCTTTTTAATATGAACAAAAAAATCAATTAATTACAAGAGAAATATTTATATATATTTTTTATATTTTTTTTTTACAATGAAAAAGAAATATATATCAAATAATTTTGCGCTCTTGTAAAAAAAAGTAATAAATTCTACTGTACTAAAAAATTGAGAAACGAAAGTTTTTCTGAGATTAAAAATTAGACGTTTCGTGGGATTAAGAAAATATCGAACAAATTTAATTAAATTTAACCAATGTTTTATTAAATGGATATAATAGAGCCAAATTAATATTAAATTTAAAATTTAAATAAACTAATTTGTATGGCTAGTCTAGAATTTATTTAAGATGGAGTATAGTTTATTGTATATTTTTGTTTAAATAATTTAAATTGGCATTAAAAATTCTTTGATAAATTCGAGTTAAATAATAAGTATAAATGCATTAGCTTATTATGAAATGCATAAAAATTACATTTAGCTTTATTCTTCTGGTGATATATAAAAATGATATTATTGATTTTTATGTTTCTTAGCTCAATATACTATTTGAAAGTTCACATGCCAATGCTTTATTATAAAATCCAATTAAAATTATCAATTAAATTAAAAAAATTGTAATTGAATCATATTTTAAAGGTCATATGCAGATAATTATAATCAGTATACTTGTGAGAAAATAATAAAACGTGAATATTTTGATTTCTGTATATAATATCATTGTAATATATGCAATAAAAATTTTATATTAAAATTTTGCATAAATTGAATATTTCATAGAAAATTGTAACGCAAGTAATTGTAACAAAAGTATCTATTAAAACATATTTCTATCAAATTTAATGCATATTACAATTATTTTTTATAAGAATATCCTTTAATTTTACGTTTTAATATAAAATTATTATTGTATTAATAATAATTTGAAAATTTATCAGTTTAAACTGATGAATCGAGTATATAGAATAAATGAAAATTTTAAATCCATATATTATTACATAATTCGTTTAATTAATAATTGTAAATTAAAAATTAGTTTACTTTCTTTATTTATTATTAAAGTTCATATATTTTTAGAATATATGAGCTTATTTTATAACACAATTTTTAATATACAAATAATTAATTATACCTTATGGCAATGATCGTAAATAAATTTTTATTTTTTACAAAATTTTTAAGTTGTTAAAAGTAATAAAATAAAATAATATAATTAATGTGTCTAGTATACATATAATTTCTAAACAGAAATACAATAGTGTAATTACCGCTCGTTTCTCAGTATTTAATGAAAATATAAAATATTGCTAAAACAACTTTAAAAAATTAGTTTATGAATTTATAAATTTTAATAAAAACAATTCAATTATGCAAAAATATTTTTATTCTACTTGAATATTTACATTGGGATAATATATAACTAAATAATTATGTAATATTTTTTTAATATATTGACAATTATTGTACAAATATAATTATAAAAAGGTTTTGTTAGAAGACGATGGTTTTAATTAAATTACAGTTAAGATTAATAGTTATTCTTAAAACTAAGAAAAAATCATGTTACCCAGATGTTATATCAATTAATTCTTGTTTTAACAATAATGCATATAAATTTATTTGTTTGTTTACAGAATGCAATTATTTTTAAATAAATGCTAACATTGTTTTAAATTTTTTTAAAATCAATTTCATTAGTAATTACTTAAAATTGATCATAATTGTATTATCAATATTTTAAATATATATTTTAGTAAAATTTACAATAAAGGAATGCTAGATCTCATAATATATTTATATTTAATAAAAGCTTGTGATACAATAGTCGAATTATTATATTCTTATTTTCCACATCACCTTGGATTATATTAAAATATGTTTAATACAACAATTAACAAAAAAATATTTTTATTCAATTATAATTACATTTGCAGGTTGAGTTTGTAATATATATTGATAAAAATAAACATTAATAAAAAATTTATGTGAGTTTAAATTTTTGATAATTTTTTATTACCTCATGAAGAATCTTAAAATTTTATGGAAAAATTTTCTTTATATTAAATTATACGTAGATTACGTAAATTACGTTTCTACTTTACTCATTATTAAAGCAGTTTATTGTACTATTACCTATAAAATATCGAAACTTTTAAGATATAAACACTTATATAAAACATACATCAGTGTCAATCTTACATGGTGGATTTTCAATATTATAATCGTATTTACAAATCGTTTATTAAATTTCATCAAAGGATGAAACGAGATTCACATCAGGCCGTTGTATTTTAAAATATTGCAAACCTTCTTTTGTGACAGAAGTACCTGTCACATCAAGGTACTCTAAATTTGGACCATTTACAACAAAATGAAGCAAAGTTTGATTCGTTACTCCTGTATAGTTTCTGAAATGAAAAAAATTAAAATTATTATTATATTCTTTAACGTTCTCATAATAATTGAAATCAATGATTTTTTTCTAATTGATAGCTTTAAAACATATTTACCTTACGATTAATTTTTTTAAATTTGGATTTGTTGAAGTGCGTGGTCTTCCTTGGACTAGTTGCACCTCGTCGCGATTATGTATGATTTCTTGATTATTTTCATTATTACGTAAACCTAAAGCACATATAGACCTATCTGAAATTTGACATCTGTCTGCATTATTTACAAGATTTACAATTAAATGATGGAGATCGTTTTCGTTAATAAGCTAAAAAATAAATAATTTTCAATTTACTATTTTTTTTTCTGTTTTTGTCTAATAAATATATTGAGGAAACAAACCTCAACATTTACATGATTATTTTGATAAACTACTTCTGGTCCTCTTTGTAACTGAACATACAGCACTTCTCGTTGTTGAGGATGTTCGTCTGGTTGATGCTGTACTGCTTCTGAGTTGGGACACTCCAAATATATATCGGTTAATGTGGATGTGTGACTAAAGCTGCTTATTACACTATCTCCAACGAAGGTATCTTTTAAATCTAACACCTATAATTAACATATATTTTTGTTTAAAAATATATATTACTATGTAAATAGTTCAAAATTAAACATTTTAATTACCTCCAATGATTTTAACCCATATCTACATGCTAGACTCGCATATGCTATATCTTCGCTTAATCCATAACAAGAATTTAGCCTTACTTCTTTCAGTTTGGGTATTTTACTAATAGCCATAAACGAATGTGAATTCAGCCAGTTGCAATTTGTAAGTATTAAGCACTAAAAATCATTTATATTTAGAAACTTTAATTAATATTGTTTATTAAAATTAACTTATTTTATAATCTAGTTTCATAATTACTAATTTAGTGACAAATAACACTTTAGTTAAATAACAATTAACTATAAAATAAATACTTCAATAAATACAGAGATTGATATTATAATAGCAATGATTAATTACTGTTAAATTAGGCATGTGAATATCAATCTTACTAAGGTAAGATTTATTCATTTGCATAAGGTGTCCTTTAAAAATTTGACATCCCTTTAACGATAATTTTTTTAATGTTTTAGGAAAATTTGTGATTTGAATCTGAAATTGAAAAATTTATTTTAAAAATAATGAAAATAAAATGGTACATCGGATTCGTTATTAAATCCATTGTATTAAAAAATAAAAATACTTTTTCTTGTGAAATACTGTAATCTTCTAAAATAAAATCTTGTAGCTGTTCACATTTTAGAGCAACAGTATTTAAGAAACTTGGATGCAATTCTGGAAACTCATTTTTTCTTTTGTTCCCTCGAATCGCCAATAACTTTGTAACCGGTTGCATAAATCTAACATATTTTTCTAATTCTTCTAAAGATAAATGCTGAGCACGTAGATCCAACGATTTCCATAAAGTTCTATCACAGCATAGTTCACTTAATCGAAAGCAGCATCTACAATAACAAAAAAAAAAAAAAAATTACTAAATTTTATTTATTTACATATCAGATTATTTTTTAATTCTATAATTTATAGTTTTTCAATTTAATGATGATGATATTTAATTAATATTTTACTCGTATTGATAATATTTTTATTTCACATGATTTTCAATAAGTTATAATATATATATATACACATATAGTATACATAATGTATAAAATATGGGAGTAGAAATAATAATGACGATGTGATTGTTGTATAATTTAATATTGATATAAAGAAGAAATACTTACAAGTGCAATGACATTATATCAAACGATGAAAGATACTTGAAAATATGAAGTAAGACATCATCTGATAAATCTAACAAATTATAACTATATTCTTTTTTTTGACTACTTAATTTGGAGCGTTTCGCATCAGTATGCAAAATTTGAGTATTGAACGGATCAAGAGATTCTGATTTTACACGCTTCATTTTAACTTTGTTCAGTAATGAATGAATAAAATGTAAATATTTCACAAAAAGATGTTTTAGAAGTAAAAATATTTTTTTTTATAAACAAGTGCATTTGTTTAAATGATGTAACCTCAATAACAAGTTTATATAAGATTTCTTATTTCTTTAAATAGCTCATGATTAATTTTTAATAAATAGAAAACAAAAAAGTTTACTTGTTATTTACAAAATTTGACATTTATTAATAATGCCCTCACAGTTTCAAAAATGTCAACAAACATAGACGAAAGCTATGAAACAAAAAATATTACTATGCTATATATTTACGGTGTTGCCAAATTACAATTGAAGTGAAAGTAGCCACTTCTCATCAAAATTGCCATTCCCGAAACTCTAAAGCGCATGTGTATTTATATATTTATATATATGCATATGTTTATACATGTGTGTACACGTTTACGGCATGGATATACGATATTAGGTTAATAAATAGAATTTTATAAAACACAATTATTTTTATTTACATAAAATATTGATAAATTAATTTTAGTAATTTTTGCTTAAGTAATGTAGGCATACACATTTCATATATGTGTTTTTAACGATTATATATATACATATATATATATATATATATATATATATATATGTACAGATATAAATATACATAAATCATTTAGTTTCAATAATTAAAAAAAAAGAAAAAAAAGAGAGAGAAAAAAAAATTAAGCAAAAATTATTCGACAAGAGTACCTCTGCGTAATATAATGAATTTTGAGATTATTTGAAAATTCAATTGGATAAATGAAGTAAAATAGATTTAAAAAAAAAAAACGATATTAAAATACTATTTGTACTATTGATTTGAAAATGCTTATCAAGTGCGGTGAAAATATATGTTGGCTATATGTGTATAGTATTACTGCTGGCTTCAAGTGGAACTAGATTAAGATTCGAGTTCTTTTTTCCCCCACCCCAGGCGCTTGCCTAGTAGACAAGAAGTCTCGGGGATTTGACATTTGATAAAACATCTTTCCGAATAATTATTTTAAATTCCCGAAGCGTACGAAAATATAACGGGGCGAGTGCCAGCTGTGGATATTAAAGCTGCGTCGCGTGTGTTCGATATTCCAGGCGACATCTAAAAATGGAAATAAACCTAACCCTTCCGGTGGTACTCAATCATTTAGAGTAGCACTGATTCATCGAGGAAAGTCGAAATTCGTAATACGCAAATATTCATTTTGGGAGTGTGGATAAAGCTACGGGTGATTAAATTTGAGATAATAACACTGCTGGCTTGAGATAATGAAGTCTGGCAGCGTAAATGAGCCTAGAGGTTCGGTGTTGCTAAAACCCGAGGAGAACGACCAAGTGTTCCGATTAATAGGAAATCGTTGTCAGGTGAATTTCAAAATACAGATTAATTCGTAAAGTAATTTTCAAGGTTAAAAATTTGACAAGCTGTTCATTTGCAATTGGAATTCATTTTAGTTCTATAGGTTGCATTTTATTATCGTTTTATACCAAATAAACTAATAAACTTCGAAAATTGTATAAATCGTAATTGATTATTTATAAATATTCTTCATTAGCTGTAAAAATTAAAATTTCAATTTATAATATTTCAGTTACATTGAACAAGTAATATAAGCGTAAAATAAATAATAATCACATACATTACTCTTTTGTTTACTGATGTGCGGTATTGTTAGTATAACAATTTTATGAATCATACAAATGTTTAGAAATAATGCACAATGTGAATAATTTATATATATGCATTTATGTATATATACTTACACACACGCGAGAACAACACACTCACACACACACACGCACACACATCTACATATCAGAATAATTTAGAATTTTAAATATTTATCTCTACTGTATTAAAATTTACATGTTTTATTTACAAGATTTATTTTTTGTATGCAATTTATATATTCTAGTGTCTAGCAGCAGGTATTATCCAACTATATTTAACAGAACCACCAAATCATAATGAATGGATTAAGAAAAATACAGGAATCATTACTTTAATTAGAGACACATCTAAACGTAGTTTTTTCTTGCGATTATATTGTATTCAAAGGAAAGTTCTGTTATGGGAACACGAAGTTTATAATTCTATGGAATATAAAGCCCCTGTAAATTATTTTCATACCTTTGAAGCGGAAGACTGTATGGCTGCATTTAATTTTGCTAGTGAAACAGATGCTATTGTTTTAAGGTAAATTATGGTCTTAAATTGTTAATAAAACATTTTTCTACGTATTAAAATATTAATCGTGTTTAGTTAATTTCTCTTTAAATATTTTACATTAATAAGAATTGTATTAGAAATAGATTATTCTTTATCAAATATATCTTATTAGAGTAAAAATTTTTTAATTTAAGATAAATTTCTTTCATATAAAACCTTTGTTTCAACAATGCAAAATTAGCTATTGTCTAAAAATATTAGAAAAACAATGTATTAACATCTTTATTTAATTACTTATTTACATTGATAATATAATTAAATAATATTTTATTTATTTTTTATTTTTGAAGGAATATTCTTAATGAAAAATTAAGTGCAAAAACAAGGCGTAGAAATGAACGGCATTCGAAAATGGAAATGGAAAGTCAGAGAGGAGTGACACTTCCACGTAAAAATCAAAGTATTAGTACTCCTTCTTTAGGACTTACATCAAATGCTCCTGATAATTTTTCAAATGGTTCACCTGTGCCGGTTAGTGTTAATAGAAGTATGTCTAATATTTCAATGAGTAATAAAACTAAAAAGAAAAAAAGAAATCAAGAAGCTAAGAAGAAATTAACCACAAATGACATTAGTTTGCCATTTGATTTTAGGTACATAGTATTTCGTTAATATTATATTAATATAATAATGATATATATACATAAATATTTTGTTTTACCTTTTGCAGACATGTACAGCATTGTGGAACTGATATTAATGATTGTAGATTTGTAAGTCCAGAATTGAAAGAATTTTTTGATAAAGTAGGAATATCAGAAAGTCATTTAGAGCATCGGGCAACGCGAGACTTTATTTATGATTTTATTGAACGTTATGGAGGAATGAATGCAGTTAAAAAGGAAATAGTACCATCTTCTGGAACACCGACCAATGTACAAGTGCCAAAACCTCAGACAAAATTAGAAGCCCCACCACCAGTTCCAGCAAGAACTATACCAATTAATACAAATACACTATCCAATAATGTAGGTAGACATGCTCTATTATTTATTGGATATTCAATGTTTTATTTGTACAAATTGTATTTGTACAAATACATTAAGTGACAGTACATGAATATGAAACATATATTTGAAAATGAGATGCTACTTCTTGCTTATAAATTAATTATGAACATTTTATCACCTAATTAATAAGAAACATTTTTTTAAATTAATGTACTTCATTAATAATTTTAAGATTAGTTTTATTTACAAAGTTTAATTAGTGCCCTGTTTTTAGAGTCATCAAAGGAAGGCTCCACCTTTACCACCATCTCAAACTCAAAGCCCAATTCCTCCAGCACTTCCAAATGTACTTCCTGCTCATAGATCACTCCCATCAAGGCCATCTCCTCCATCAGTAACACCAGCACCTGTTTTACCTCCTCCACCCCCTCCACCGCCATTGCCTCAAGAGCAAGTTCCAAAAGTTCTTTCAAATGCTCCACCTCCACCCCCATTACCCAATTGGAGCAGTAGTTCAGGGGATATGGATAACGGTAATAGTGCCAATTTCGATAATAAACACGCTCCAGATCCTAGATCAATGCTTATGGAATCTATACGAACTGGCATCCCTCTTAAAGTAAATATTATGTACCTTAATGTATTTCACAATCTAATGACTATAAAATATCATCAAACATTGATCGATATCATTTTTATAAAGAAAATAAATGTGGAAGAAACGAAGTCACCTACTTCAAAAGATACAAGGAGTAATCTCTTGGAAGAAATACGTCAAGGAATAACATTAAAACCAGTTGTAAATGAACCAAGACCCAATAGTGCCACACCAAATTTAGCGGAAGGTGGATTAGCTGCAGCGCTTACCAGAGCATTGGTAGAACGATCGAAAGCAATGTATAGTGAAAGCGAAGATTCAAGTGATTTTACCGATAATGACGATGAGTGGGATGATTAGTATATTTTAAATGGTATTGATATTTTTTAAAAATTATTTTCTCCTTCAAACAGAGATTTTTTTTTCTCATTTCATATTTGTTGCTCAGTCGTATAATTACTTTAAAATTAATAATTATAACTATAAAAATGATGTAGTCCAAACTATAATTTTTGTCAATTTTCTTTTTCTTCAAACCATTCAAATCAATGTATATTATATATATGTATGTTAGTTAAATTAATAGTCTATTGGTATATGATAAGTTTTTAAATATTAAAATATTCAATTATGAATTTGATTATTCTTCAGATCAAACAATTTGTGATGCATATGGATTTGAAAGAATATTTTTCCCATACATTGGAGTATCAACGTCAATACCACAAAATAAAATGGTTGTTGCAAAAATAAGACTCATATTGATGTCGACAGTAATTTTCGAAGTTATCATCGATTCTGATAAGTATTATTTTGTTGTTAATCAAACGATAGAGTGAATTCTTCGTTTTTGAAAATCACTTTTCTGATTTTATTACATGATGAAATGATTTTTGTTCTGTATATTTTATATGTAAAAAATAGGCAAGTTTTTAATGTCTACATTAATAAAATCTGTAAATCCATGAGCAATGAACAAAAATAATTGACTGTTAGCTGGCAAGAGAAATAGACAATTTATAAAATTTCATGCCCATTAATATTAAGAGAGATTACTATGTCTAGCAATTTTAAAGTGGCAAATAACGCCCTTTAATATATTTTCCTATCAGTGCCTAAACTTTTCCCTAAATTATTATTTTATTATGCATAATAATGCGTAGTCATTAGGTTATTACAAATTGATCTACGTTATCATTCATGAAAATTCTTATTGTTATAATAATGTTATTCTGTCAACAAAGGACCTTACACTATTAATCTTTAAGAAGATAGATAAAATTTATTAGTTTATAAAAACAGAGTATTGGCCTAAAATGATTGTTCATTCGTTACATGAATATGTAAGCGCATCTCATATTCACGTTTTTCCCTTGTAGGAGTATTTACGTGTACTAAGTTATGGGCAATTGTTCGAGGCGTTAAACTAGTCTTTAAGTTCATCGGCGAATACCAAGTATCCATTACATTTTGAACTCGTGAATATGTAGAAAATATGCTATATATAATTTTCATAATGCAATAATATTATTTGTTATATGGATAATATATTATTATTTTATTAGTTAAATAGTAATAAAGGCTTTATGACTTCCAATTTATTTCTTAATCTAATTGATTTTCAGATTTTTTATTTTTTCATCCCAATGTTATTTTAGGATTTTCAAATTGAAGAAGGTATATCGATCGCAAAAAAAAAGTTATAAAAATTATGTGGAATTAGATCTATTTCTCTATTTAATGACTACAATATATTACACAGTATATTTTAATCTTTGGTCTTATAATAATTTACACAAATATGTAAATTTAATTCTACTCTTTTTCATGATTTTACTCATCATTTTGTAGATTCTTTCAATTTTTAAACGGTTATTGTATTTTAAGCCAAAATTTAAGAAAAAAATTCAAAATTCTCTTCTGATAAATTTTAAACCATAATTTTTTAGAAGTACGTGACCGTTTAAATGTTGAAATGAATTTTATTATCAGTCGCGTCTACAAATTTTGGATTTTATAACATAAGATATAAATTCATTAATTGGTATATTAATACAATAAATCCCGATTTATCGTGTAAAATAAATTTTTTTTTTGGTTTTTACTTTTTTTTCTAACGCAGGGAACATGTTACCGTTTTCTCATGCATTCTTGGAATATGATGAAAAAATTATGTTAATGATTACATTCATTTTGTTCATTTAGAATTATTCTTTTTTTACTATTAGTAATTATATTTTAATCCACTTTCTTGCTTCAAATTTTATTTTTAGCTACGAAGATGGAAATGCCAATTATAAAATGATATAAACTTATTTATATCTAAATCTAAAAGTATTTACTATGAAATAGATACAAAAATTTAAAGCATAAAAAAATATAATAAAAAGCAAAAACAATAATATAAAATATATATATATATATATATATATATATATATATATATATATATATATATATATAGGTTATTTTAACAAATAATACTACAAGTTTTTGAAAGTAGAACAAAATTAACAAATACATAATTATTTGTAAATCGCGACATTTTTGATCGTAATAAAGTTTATCGACACTTACAGTAACATTTATTCCTTTCAACGTTTGCTCATTGAGATTCATACTACATATATTTGAAGAGAATCACTAAAGTTCAGTAAAAAATAATTTAATGGCTTGAAAACAAATGTTTCATAGAAACAGTTCTTAGTTTTTAAGAAATATGCGCCTTACATTTTTAATCGTTTAACTCGCGCAACCTTTAATGTAAATAATTCTTTCATTCAATTCACTGAAAACGGGGCTGATAAAACTTAATAAATCGCTTATACATAGTTAATAAATTCATAAAAATAATTATTATTTACGGGCAGATTGGTACGCTAATATGTGTTGAGTACAAAGGAAGAAGCTATTGCAAGCCAAAAGTTATTTTTTACCAAAGTAACCTTAAAATACCTTAAGAGGTGAACTTGCAATTTTCAATATTTATTAATAGTTAAGTCATAAAGTGTAAGCATTTTCATAATTGCTTTTCTACTTGTTTCTATATTTCATGGCCAAATAGAACATTCAATTTCTTTTATACATGCCAGAATGCCATATTATTTTATAAAGTTTTTCGTTTATAAAATATTATTTTAATATGCTATGTCAATTCAAATAATATGTACAATATACTTAAACTTCACAAATATATTTAAATAAAAATTAATCTTAACAGACCATAATATACTTATTCAGAAAGTTTTCTACTGTAATTTTAAAAAATAAAGTATTTATTTCATTGTAGATAACAAAAATAAACTTAAAACAATTACTTTTATCGTATTCATAAGAAATGACGCACGAAAATTTTATATTTAAATATTAAGAATATTGAAATTTACAAGTAGATAATTTTAATATAGTTTTTTTATAATTTTATAAAAATCGTTTTGGAGTGAGAACATTTTCTTTTTTTTCTTTTTCTTTTTTACCAAAGTTGATACACGATTATACAGTATTACTAGACTCTGATGTAATTTTACATTTTATTCGTAAATGTAAGTATACATGCGTTTGGCATCTCCCTGAATATTAATGTAAATAATAAATTAAGATTAATATAGGCATTATTCGTTTAATATAATTGTAGGGATTTTAATTGAAGCTTTACGAATATTAATACAAATCATGTGTAATTTTACTCAAAATGCAAAATGTTGGAGCGTTTCGTTCCGTGTATGCATACTGGAAAAATATATTACAACATGATATAGCACCAGCTATAACTTGAGTTTTTAGTTTTATAAACTAAAAACCGTTCACTATCAGATATAACGATGTATAACCATTTAGACCAAGATTTCCACAAGTTTCGAATAAATAAAATGTCCATTTGTTATTTTACAACTTCATTGTTAAGCTTTATATTTTGATAACGTTTATAATGTATATTTCTGCAGTAAAAAATGTACAGTTCCTGCTTGTGTAATTAAATCTTGGTTTAAAGTGTTTGTATCGGTTTTATGTAAATTGATAAAGCAATATGTCTGTCATCAGTTTCAGATAAAACAGTCCCTATGTATTTTCAGGAAATATTAATTTATCCTATTTTATAACACGTGTTTATAATACAGATTTGTTAAAATATATATTACTCTTTTATATGTATAGAATCCCCTTAAGACACTAAAAATCGACAATTTATGAATGTGGTTTTTATATGTTACTCTAATAAGTTATATTTTTCTTTCCTTAATACAGCATATTTAATTATAAATATTTTCCTTCCAAGGTACAAGAAATTTTTTTTATTTATTTGGGTATAGTAATTTCGGTATTTGTGATGTGTAAAAATATCAAAGAAAAAAGAAAACTAGAAAAATATTTACCCGTTCAAATTTCACCATTTCGTTTATATATAAATGTTACATCTCTACATAAAGGAAATATGTATCAAAATTGGTATTAATATTTGTTTACCTTCAGCTTACGCTTACAAAAATTTTGTTATCACGAAAAATACTGATAATAACAAAATAAAGGAATTTTAAAAATTTCTTTCAAATGAAATCACTCTAAAATCACGAATCTATTCCATAATTGGTGTAACTATAGCATCCAATTTGTTTGTCCTCACGCTGGTTACGTTAACCCTCGCGAGTCAAAGCGATAACATCGAACACTTCCGCGGCAACCGAGATAATTACGGAATACGCCCCCATTTTATGTTTTTCAATTTTTACTTTCCTTTCCAACCCAAATGCAATTGTAAATAGCTCGATTGAGTTATGAAAGTTAGCGTATCGTACGCAAGTTCCCTGATTACCGTTTTTATTCTACAGGCGAATACGAATACGTTTTTGATGAATGTTGAAGGTTGGACGCCGAATCGAAAAGGACATATTACCTAGCAAACGAAAACACTATACCAGACATTTGGTAAGCGTATGTGTGTGAAATCTCGAAGCGTATCTATGTATCCCTAGCCCTTAAACGACGACGATCTTATGATTGTTTCCATTGGGCAGGAGTACGTAATAGACACGCTTCCCCTTATCTCATTGAAACTGCGACACGTTGCCCTGGTAGTGACTACTAACAAAGGATTCACCCTGTTGTTGTTGTTGTTGTTGTTGTTGTTGTTGTTGTTGTTGCTGCTGCTGCTGTTGCTGCTCGGCTCTGTCGACAACGCCCTGAATCTCGATGACGGAGCCGTTGGCGGTGTGCCCGGTACCGTTGCTCATACTGGCACTGGTAATGTCCCTTGTGACGGTGAGCTCGGTGCTTGAGTTCGCCTGTTGCACCTGTTGTTGCTGCTGTTGCTGTTGCTGCTGCTGATGTTGCTGATGTATGGCACCGTTGTTCTGGGCGTGACTGTTGTTCTTAGACCTGTGCCTCAGCTTGTGTGTGGTGAGGTACTGTTTTACCGAGAATGCCTTGTGACAAATGTCGCACTTGTAGGGTAGCGGATCCTGAATGCAGTTGAGACCATCGACGACGGCCGGCGCGTGGGTCGTCAGATGCATGAGGTAATAGTGTTTGACGACGAAGGACTTGCCGCAGGTTTCGCATATGTAAGGGCCCGACATGCCGTGGGTCTTACGATGCTTGTGCAGATTGTCCTTGCGCGAGAAGCTCTTGCCGCACACCTCGCATTCGTGCATCTTTTGGCCGGTATGAGAGACAAGGTGGCGCACCAAGTGCTCCTTCCTGCTAAAGGCCTTGGCACATGTGGTGCAGACGTAGGGCCGCTCGCCCGTGTGAAGTTTTCGGTGCTGGAATAGGTGCTCTTTTCGTTTGAAGGGTTTGTTGCAAACGTCACAGTTGAAAGGACTGCCAAGCCCATTCATGTGCGCCGGGTTCTCCTCCTTTATGCTGCCACTGCTCATCTCCGTCACCTGCTTATTTATCATCAATTTTTTTAATCTCAAATAAATGGGCTATCATCTCTGTGGAGTATATTTTAATTTATTACAACGAATATACGAGTAAACGAGAAATGCATTCGGTAGCCCAGTTTTTTTTTTTAATTTTTAAAAAAAAATTTTTTTTTTTTAATTTAATCTACTTTTATTTGCACATAAATAGATTTAATATAATGCTGCAATAACCAAAATAATAATAACGATGATGATAATAATAATAACACTAACAATGATAATAAAAGTACCGAATGTATGAAAATAAAAGAATGGGAGACAAAATAGTAATTTCATTTTTCGTTGATAGTGCGAATTTTCTTATAATGTTAAATAAAAAAAAATTAATAATTAAAATATTTTCTTGTATTGTAATAGATTGTTATTTTTTTTTTTATATCAATGTATAAAATATATACCCTCCCTCCTCATTTTGCAGAAAAGAAAAATAATAGTTAAAATTATAATAACCATCTATTATTTCCAAAGTAATAACTGCTTGAAATTGTTTTTAAATTAAATGATTAATTTTAATTATAAATATGAATTATTTTAGCTGATTTTTTCATTTCAATTATAATGCGCAGATTATTTAAAAACTTAAGCAATATATTGAATAATCTTGTCGGCAATATTTTTAAATATAAAACATCTTACGTTGTGTAATAAAACTTTAATGTTATTAATAATATTTAGCAGTTCAGAAGCGAATGTTGAGCTTTTTATTTTTCAATGCATTTAAACAGAGTAAAATAATTTTTCGCTTTTATTCCCGTAAAATATTTGATAATAGATACAGAATTTGAAATAAATAATATCCATTTGTTAATAATTAGAATTTACTGTGCTTGTAAATCGTCTTTAGTGATAATCACGATATCAATTTTCATATGATTATATAATATATAACTGTAAAAGCATATTAAATTATACTTTTTTTCCGAGTAACTCGGAAATAAATCCAAGAACTTATAATGCTGTTAAACATATTTTCTTTTACGAAAATAACATATTATTACGAACTTGAAGATGCTTGCCTGCTTTCTTTAAATATTTTTTCAAATATAGAGATGTCGATGATTTTTTCAAGAGGCATTGTTTATAAAAAAAATTCTCTTTTATTTCTAGCGCAGCGCATAATACTTTGTTTAACCAATCGTATTGTTCAAAAGTACGCTTTCGGCTTTGCTATCACTGCTTAAAAAAAGAAGAAAAGTAATCTCTCATTTATGCGCAAATCACTCGTAAAACGTAACCTTGTTAGATTAAGTTGGCGGTAAAGTGTTGCGGAGCAGACGGATAATACCGCGGGAATTTAATTATGAAAGAAACACGTGATAAACGATATTAAGCAGCCGCTAGCTCTAAAGCGTACCAAGGATGGATTATTTGGGTTGAATACCTCGTTGAGCAGTTGCGACGTGCAATCGTGACCGTTCATTTGGTTTATGGAAGTGAAGGTTTTGCCGCACTCGCGACAAGCCACCTGTCGCTGCGCTGTCTGTGATATCGCTTGGGGATTCACTGTGACCAGCGGGGAAGGCTGCTCGGGACCCGAGCGAATTCTCAGGAATTCTGATATATGGCTGATGGACGTGCGCGACATGGCATCCTCCGAGCTCTTGACGAAGTCTTTTAGTTCCTTGGGATCTTCGCGCGTTACTTGGGTCGTCAGGGCGTCTTTGAAGCCCAGACTCAGGAAGACCTCGGGTGTCGCTTGGACGGTCGTGAAAGTCTGCTGGTTCTGTTGATTCACCACTACTGCCTCGTTCTTTTGCTGATCGTTTTGAAGGCTTTGTTGTTGCTCATTGGTATCTTCGGTTTTGAGAATGATATTACTTCGATGGACCTCCGCCTGTTGTTGTTCTTGTACATTCGTAACGTGAATGTGTTGTTGTTGTTGTTGTTGTTGCTGTTGCTGTTGTTGCTGTTGTTGTTGCTGTTGTTGTTGCTGCTGCTGCTGCTTTTCTATGTGGTGCATGTGTCTCTGCTTCTCAAACTGTTCTCGTTGCTGTCTCTGTAGATGTTGCAACTGCTGTGTTATTTGAGTTTGATTTTGTTGCTCTTGATTTACGTGTGTTTGTTGTTGATTAACTTGCTGATTGACCTGCTGATTCACTTGTTGATTCACTTGACTAGCTTGATTCGATGGCTGCTGGGACATCTGCCTCAGCGTTTGTACCTGTTGCTGTGATATTTGATTTTGGCTCTGTATTTGGTTTTGCACTTGTATTTGAGTGGGCTGAGACTGCGACTGCTCTATTATTTGATTTTGCGTTTGATTTTGCTGTGACTGTATTTGCTGAGACGTCTGTTGCTGATAACTGTAGTGAGTTTCTGCTTCGACTACAGCTGCTGCAACGTTGCCAGATTGCATCTAAAATTAAACAGAAATGTATTTATTAGGCTCTTACGTCTGGCATTGTGAAAATTATAAAAAAATTATTTCTATTTTATTTTAATACATGTTTAGAATTGCTAACCTGCATTGCACATTTATACTGTTGTACACGAGCTTGCACTCCGCTAATAATTTGTAAATTTGAAGCATTTATATTACTGACGAGTACTTGTTGTGGATGCGATTGCGTTTGGTCCGTGAGAATTTGAGCGCTCGTGGTAGTCGGGACTATTTTCTCTACCGTATTCAATGGATCTTCTTCCGTTTGCGGCTCTTCTACCATTACTGGTTTTTCTTCTTTCGTACTTTTTACATAAACTTTTCCTTCCTTCAAGAAGTCTTCTGAAAATCTTAGCGAAGTAAAGTATGACTCCAACATACCCTCCGCATTTACAACTGCTTCTCGAAATTCAATGTAGTTTTCTAACTTTTTTACACAATCAAGACAAACAATTTTTGGTAACGAGTCCTCTTCCAAAACCTAAAAAATTCCACATAAAATTCAGTTAATATGTTAAAAGTGAAAAAGCATGACAAAAATATTTAAAAGTAAATTTAATGAAACTCTATATATTTATAGGTTAAAATTAAATAATGTATCACTTAGATAAAAATAAAAAATATCTCGCCTAAAAAAAAAGAAAAAAATGAGTATAATGATAATAAAATGATAAATTAGCATGTAACGTATACGTGCGCGCGTGTGCGCGTGAGTATGCAAATGCATGGCCACATATCGCATGCGTACACATACACATAAGCAAGTAAATACGCACGTACGCAAACGCGTACACAAGAGGCATAAAATTGGATTAATGAATAATTTCACGAGTTAAAATATTTTAATAATAAACAAAATAAATTTCAATTAAGTCGACATGAATATTTATAAGCAAAAGTCACGAGTCTAGATCCACAGCATGTATTCTACAATTGGATTTTTTTTTTTTAAACTGCAAGTCTTTCAAAAGCGATTCCGAAGCAACAAGTTTAAAATAAAATAAAATTGAACATCGGCATATCAATGGAGATATGTTAAACGTCAAATTAGTCGTAAGCTAATTAAGGACGATGGTATTAACAAATGTGCGTACAGAGTGAGTTTGTAAAACAATGCTGCAATTGAGCTTTAAAAGTTCAAGTTGAAGCGCATCTCTGTACGTACGTACAAAAATACTTGGTGGTAATACAAAAGGGGAAAAAAGAAAAAGACAAAAAAAAAGAAAGAAAAAAAAAACCAGCAAAAAGAAAAATAAACAAACAAACACCCGGCTCACCTGTACAGGCAAGTACGTCTGTATTTTGGTCTGAAGCTGACGCCTGCGTCCCTCCTCGAGAAAGATGTTCATCTTGGTGCCTTCGCTGCTGGTACAGAGCCGGCAAAGCTCGTAATAATTAACCCGCCGATATCCCGACATATTGCCTTCGGACGCCAGCCTATCATATAAATACGACGCGAGCCGTCGACAGCGTTGATCCCGTCTGGTGCGATCGCTACTCCCGCAGGATTCAGTCTTGGGCCGAAGGAACGAGGAGCCTCGGGCTTGAGCGCGGCGAGGAGTCAGAGGCGCGCCGCTATCCTCAATAGTTTCGGTAACATCGGCAGCGCGTCGAACCTCTTAGCAATAACCTGCAATAACGACTCGCAGCCATTTGCAAAATGCAATCGCGCTCTCTGATGTCGTTCGCCGCGTGCGTGTGCCGATGTGTTAGGTGAATACGTGCCTGCGGCTCGCTCGTGTGCGTCTGGCTGCTGATCGTAGATTTAACACATCGTAGGTCGCGGCTGCTTTCATGGGCGCGCACTCACCGACCGAATCGCCGACGCTGTCAGAAGGACAAAGACAGCGCCAGGGTGGACCGCGCTCGGCAACCTCACTCGCTCTCTCTCTCGGCCTCTTTTACTTTTATTCCCGGTTAGTCGTGGATCGGAGAAAGAGAATATTACTTCTTCTGCCGCTGCTATTTGCCTTGGTGCGAGCATAAACCGAGTGTTCCTGTCACGTAAATCTTACTCTCGCGAGCGCGCGCGCGCGCACTCGCGTATGTGTATATCGTGTACCGCACGCTGGGTCGTGCGCGCCCGAAAGAGAGAGAGAGAGAGAGAGAGAGAGATTGTGCGTGTGTGCGCGCGTGTGTGAGTGAGTGAGTGCGTGAGCGAGAAGGAGAGAGGGACGACTTTTTGCGGCTGTTTTTAGTAGCGCATTTGTGCCTATCGTTAGAATAATCTCACAATATTGTGCGATAAGTTCGTGTGTCAAAGCTCATAATTGGCCGCATACGGTCGAACTAGCCAATCCTAAGCTCCGATACATTGACAATTACGATTCGAAAAAAATCAGCCACTAGATCATTGTGGAATCACTTTTAAGGACCATCTATTGTTTGTACTCTATCGTTTTTTCTTCATTCATTCCTTTTTCGATGCCGCTTTACGTATGAGATAGATACGGTAGCATTAGCATTACAATATCAGAATTGTTGACGCGATTCCAGTCAAGAGACACGATGCATGAGGTATGAATGCAAGTCTCTCAGTATTTTTTATTAGTTATATAAGATTTAATTGAAATAAAAATAAAAAAAAAACAAAAAAAAAAAAAAACAAAGTCAAAACTTCGTTATCGTTATTGAGAGAGTAATGGTATTTTGGTCTTTTGTAACCTATCTAATATTTGAAAGGGTTGTCACACGAAGAAAGATAAGGAAAGAAAATAAGCGCCGCAAATGAGCAATTTCGTATAATTTTAATCCCCTTCGATTCCTATCGTTATTTATTTATTTTTATTTGTTTATTTTGTTTCGATTAAATATAAGTGCACTCTCATCTTCTGTTAATTTTCTTTGTTATGCTTATGCCGACGAAGAGGATTTACGTTTCGCGTTACTGTTTTTCTTCCTCTAAACGATCATTCGTCATTTATCGGGCCAATTTTATAATTTTTGAAGGAATGAAATTACGAGCTAAGTGGATAAAAACAGGATTTAAGAAGGATTTAATTCACATTTAAATTTACGTGCTATAAGCCAAAAAAAAATCATATTTTCATTTGTTAATAATTTTAAGATAAAATTTTGCATGATATCATTGTATATCATAAATGACCGATTGGCAAATGAGAGTCAGTGTACCGAGGCGTAAGTGTTACATAATGTAATTATTCAAACGTACGCGAAGCATCATTATTATTTTCTTCCTCTTAAGCTTAGTCATAAAACTGATGCGATACAGTAAGAGGATAGTAAAATACTAATATTTTTACAAATATCAATGTAATAAACAATGTTTTAAAGGACATATTTTTTAATTTTTATTATCGATTATTGATAAACGCGCTGAAATTGCAGTGCTTTGAGCATCGTCTTATACTTATTTTTAGCGTTGAATATTTTAATTATGTGTATATAAACAATTTTTGTTTACGTTCAGCACGAACGTTTTATAAGCAATACATTTTTAATCAGATGCACAATTATTTATCAACAAATCGGTAAATATTGATTTAAATGTTGATTTCAAAATTCGGAGAGAATTTTTAGTGCATTGGATTTTTGAATTGTCGCTTACATTCGATTATATTAGATCCATAAAACTAATCAATTTTTACTTAATTAAATATTTTATCGCATAAGCGTATATATAGTGTATTTTTTTACTTTTTGTCTTATAAAAATTTTACGTTAGTTTACTGTCAATTGAATAATTCTACTTGATTATTTGCTTAAGGGACACTGTAGACTACAATCGGGATTTTGGAATTAGAAATAAAATGAATACAAAAGTACTCAAATGTTATTATCATTTAAATAAATAATAAACTTCAAACAGTATTTACACCAACATTTTTCATTATATTTTTTAATTTAGCTCACAAATATTACCGCCATTAGGTTGCAAGATGGCCACCTTACCTTACTCACGATGTTTATTTATGTTACATGAATAGTTATTAGTCATTACTTAAATGGTACAAAGTGTTAAATTATATTAATATTTTATATTAACATTATTTTTATAAGATGCCTGGTACACCTAGTTGCAAGTTTCAAGAGGGTGAGCTAATTTTATTTTGTTTAATACAATAAAATTATTTATAAAGATAATGAAAAAAAAATTCGTTAAAATTTTCAGGCGAACGCGTTTTATGCTTCCATGGTCCACTAATTTATGAAGCTAAGTGCTTAAAAACAAATATTACAAAAGAAAAACAAGTAAAATATCTTATACATTATGCCGGATGGAATAAAAAGTAAGACTTCATATTATTTTTATGGTAATTTTACGACAGGAAAGATAATAATAATTTTTATTCATACAGCTGGGACGAGTGGGTTCCTGAAAGTAGGGTTTTGAAATATAATGAAATAAATGTTCAGCGTCAGAAAGACGTTCAGAGAGCTCACGCTGCTCAACAAATTGCACAGAAGGGAAAGAAATCCAGTGCACTGTCTAAAGTAAGTTTAAAAAATCGTGAAATAGGCAAAGATAAAGATTCAGAGAGTAGATCTAGTACTCCGACTCTCACAAACGAGAGGCTAAGTAATCGCTATCAAAAAAATGGTGGTTCTGTTACGCCAACTTCTAATGATTCATCATCAGAAGGACCAAGAAGAAAACGCAGGTAAATCACTTAATTTTAGATATTTAGTGATTGATTACAAAAGCTAAAATAATAAGTATAAATAAATAAAATATTTGTATAGCCGCATTGATCCTACAGTAGAAACAGAAGAACAATTTTTATCTAAAGTTGAAATTAAAGTTAAAATTCCCGATGAATTAAAACCATGGCTTGTTGATGATTGGGATGCAATTAGTAGGCAAAGAAAATTAGTAATTCTACCTGCAAGGCATACGGTTGATAAAATTTTGGATGATTATACAAAATTTAAAACTTCGAGCAAAACTAATACACCCAATAAGTATGTTTTAATAATTTAGTGAAATTATTTTAATTATTTTGAAAGTGATCTTTGACTAAATCAATATTTATTAGGGAGGTTGCCCTTTCCGAAGTAACAAGAGGCCTTCGTGAATATTTCAATGTTATGCTTGGAACGCAGCTCTTGTACAGGTGGGAAAGACAACAATATGGAGATATAATGAATGAAAAAGTGAATACACCTGCCAGTCAAATATATGGAGCTTTTCATTTATTACGATTATTTGGTATGAGTTATTAGCCTTTTAGAAATTGCTTAATAGACAGATAATTTTATTTATTCATCTAAGATTTAAACACAATTTGTGCTTAATTTTGCAGTGAAACTTGGAAGCATGTTATCATATACTCCATTAGATGAAAAAAGTATACAATTACTTCTTGCACATATTCATGATTTCTTAAGGTACATGCATAAAAATAGTAGTGATTATTTTAGTCTTCAAGATTTTGGAGCAGCACCCCCAGAATATCATCGAAAGTGTAGTTGAAAATATTTATAAATAGGCACTACAATTATCAATTTTGAAATTTTATTAAAAATTATTAAATTATAAATAAGTTATTGAAGTTTTGTCAATGAATAAAAATGTTTTTTTAATTATCATCGTCTATTCATTATCTTAGAACCTAATTAGCATTTACAATTTTATTTTAAAAATTATTCGAATAGAATATAGCGCGCGTAAAATTAACAAATCATCAGCTGTTAGACAGTTCGAACATAACCTAAAGTTTTGTTATATTTCGGGTGCAGACAATAAGTATTTGTAATTTTTTATTTCTATTGAAATTAGATTTTATTAAATTATAAAATTTTAAATGATGGCAGGCTCTGCCTTAAGACGTTTAATGGCTGAGTATAAACGTAATATATAAATAAAATAAAAAAACTTTATTATAAATATGTTACAAATAAATACTATTAAAAAAATTTATAGAATTGACTGTAAATCCTCCTGAAGGAATATTAGCTGGGCCAGTTAACGAAGAAAATTTTTTTGAATGGGAAGCTTTAATTACGTATGAAAATATATTTAAATACAATTTATCATAGTGTATTCAATACAAGTTAATTGAACTTAAATATAAAATATAACTCAATAATACGTACTTTTAACTTTAGAACTTTCAATAAGTGTAATTTTTGCTGTAGGGGACCAGAAGGTACTTGTTTCGAAGGTGGTGTTTTTCCTGCAAAGTTAGTTTTTCCACCCGACTATCCTCTAAGCCCACCTAAAATGCAGTTTACATGTGAAATTTTTCATCCAAACAGTATGTTTTAGGCACTTATTTAATTAATGACTTTGTAATAATTAAACGATATTTTCTATTTATTGTGAATTCTAGTATATTCAGATGGTCGGGTATGTATCAGTATTTTACACGCACCTGGTGATGATCCCATGGGATACGAAAGTAGTGCCGAAAGATGGAGTCCAGTTCAAAGCGTTGAAAAAATTTTATTGAGCGTTGTAAGTATGTTAGCAGAACCAAATGATGAAAGCGGGGCAAATGTTGACGCAGCAAAAATGTGGAGAGAAAACAGAACAGAATTTGAAAAAATAGCTCAAAGATTAGTTCGTAAGACTCTTGATCTTCCTGTATAATATTTTGTAGTATCGAACATTTTAAATGGAAATTTTAGAATGATTTTATTAAATTAAAATTAATTAATTGAATTTTTAGAATTCCATAATACAAGATTGTAATTATTTGTTAATTAAAATTGTAAATATTTTTATATATAATTCTTTTCATTTTTAACCTTAACATGTTTAAATTCATGATAGAATTTGAACAAAACCAAAACCTTTGTATCTACTTGATAAAATTTCCCAACACTTAATGCATGCTTAGAATATTTATAAATTTATAATTAGTTGAAACTTTTTGCAATAAATTAAAAAATAATGTAAATAATATAACATTGTCGAACAAAAAAATTTGAATAAATATAAATATTGATTATTTGCGTAAATTTTTGGAAGAGAAGTACTCATTATAATGGAAATTCACCGTTAATACATATTTTACAGTCATGTTGTATTTATGTAAAATTAATGCATTACTCGAGTAAGTGTAAGTTATAATATTTGAAATTATATATTCAAATATTGATTTAATAAATTGAACCTAATTTTCCATTTACAATAATAAAGTATTTTCTCTTTAATGTTTATAATATAAAATGAATAATATAGAAAATATGATCTTTTATTTATTTTATATTCAATCAATTGTAAAGATCCCAAAGGGAAATGTTTCCATCTTTGCCAGCAACTGCCATTAGACACTTGCTGTTATAAGCTTCAACTTTGCATGATGAGTAAATTATATCATGGATAGTGGCTTTATGCTGATCTAAAACGACAAGCGGTCTTAGCGTTTTCCATGAAAAAATTCTTATTCGTCTATCCCATCCTCCAGTACTAAAAACTTTTGCATCAGGTCTGATTGCAACAGCTGATATACCTGGATTTTTTAAAGGCAATTTTGTTCTTTCAGTGAGTTCTTTATCGGATGATAATGAAAATATCTAAAAATGTAAAATATTAAATTTATCAAGAAATTGTGTTAAAAATATTTTTTAATTATTTTAGGCGCTTGATTAGAAATATTTACTTGTAAATAATCAGCTGGACTTCCTATAATACCATGCATTAAAGATGTATTAAAATCAATATTCATAGGGCATTGCTCAATTTTTATCGACGATAAGATTTTTTTTGATCTTATATCCCACAAAAGTATTTGTCCGCCATCGTAAGTAATTAGTGCATATTTTGATTCATCCATACAAGGTTTAATTGCCATAACATGCCCAAACAAATTTGCTTCTGAATGACTAATTGGACTCAATTCGATTTCCGTTTTTAATGTTTTTAATGAAAATAATCCAACTCTCGATTCATTAAGCGGTATATATATTGCATCTTCCGTTGATACTTGAAATCTACAAGACAATGTTAGATATTTTATAAAATAAGAAAAAAGATGAAATTTTAAAAAGGAGGTTGTTATATTTACCGACAAAAGCCACAATAGTCTGTTTTGATTGTTTCATTTATTATCCAATTAGAACCTTGAGATTTCCATAAATTAATTGTTCCACCTTTTCTTTGAGTTATAAGACACTCGTCTCCGATAGTACATAAGGCTAAGCAAGGCTCATTAGAGGCATTAAGTTTTAATAATTCTCTATTTTTCTAAGACAAAATAGAAGAAACTTTTAAAAATGATTTTAAATATAAGTTAAGGATTCCATATTTATTATGCATTGAAATAATTATTGTACTCTTAAGTCCCAAATATGTACTCTTCCACTTTCAGTTCCAGCATAAATATGTTCAACATAAGGTGAAATGCGAAATAGCAAACTATGAATAGGGCCCATATCGCCCTTCATTATATAAACGGGATCCGGTGGTAGGATTGCCATTGTAAATTATTTGAAACCGTATTTTAATTAACACCTGAAAGTTAGTTCTTTTATTTAGATGTATGTCTATGAAACTGACGTTTGGCAGAAGACGGGAGGCTTATGGCACAATGATGGACTGGATGATACTCTGGAGAAAGAAAATTTTCATTTGTATATCACATATGTGGGTAAATATTAAAGGTTTATAATTCAAAATAAATCTTCAATAAATTATTTGTTTTGTTTTTGTTTTTTTTTTTCTTCTAATCAAGAGTTAGGTACAAATTAATAATTAATTAAAAGAATAAATTTTTAAACAAGTAAACATTAAGGTTTCTTCATTTATTTTTCATTTATACAAAGAATTAAGTAACGACTAGTCATACAATACAACTGTTAAAATTATAATCACTGTTTATTCTTGGATTTGTGATTAAATTGTTATGACATTGAGTTCAACGTCAATATTTATATACGTATTTATAAATTATGAACTACAACAAATTTTTAAGTTACTGACTATATTCAATACGTCATGACATCACATGTTTCGCTCTATAATTGTTATATTTTTCAAATTAATTAAGCTGTATAGAAAATTATGAAATATGAATTATACTGTAATAATAATTATGAGAGTATACTAATGAAATAAATACTCGAATGCGTTGAGAACGAAAACTTGAATCACGTCTTCTAATGTAATTTTTTTGACAAGTATATACAAAAGATACTGAATAAAAATAGTTAACGAACCCTACTGATATTACACGGCCGATATTTGGCGAATTTCGATGATGTCAAACCATATTTTCTTGTGGTTTAAAATATAAGGAGATGTGCCAGCTTCACCTCCCGTCTTCTTCCGCTGCTGTTTACGGTTTGTTTTCTTGTTGCGTCGTAATTGAGAATATTTCAGCGACTTCGTGATCCTCGAGTTGCGCAGTCGAGCACACACGGTAATATCAACTTGCTTTTCAATTTGATTGGCTTTATTTTTCTGCCATGATGCACATGAGACTTAAGTCAATTTTTAAACCACTCGCGACACACGCGGGAGATTCACATGTGCATTCTAAGCTCACTTATTTTCGAATTTAGGCACGTATTTTGCCGATTTTGCTGGAGCTAAACTATATTTGAAATGTTGTAGTATGTCGATCGATTAATGGAAAGTAATTTCTTTACTTTGGCGAGAAAATATCTTAATAATACGGATTGCTAATCTATTGAATTGTTGTTGAGTAGGGAGGCTTTGGTCTTTCTTTTTTTATGCTTAAATTATACATTTTTCGCATGTAATCAAGGTCAATTAGTTATTATATTAGATAAATATTTCGTCTCGTGGTTCGTTTTATCTGAAGAACAACATTTTATACGAAGAAAAATTCTCATACTAATGGTTCATATAGTATGCTCGGTAAATTGATTCGCAGCTTACAGTTTAATCTTGTTTTGTCATGTTCCATCTTATTTCGTCTGGAGCATGTAAGCAACTAGCATTCATTTAATTTTTTAGTAGTACAAGTAGCTTATCTGTTTCTGATTTTCTGAAAATAAATTGATATCTTCTGCCTTACTCTTATATTTGTACATGTGTTTTGTTCCCAATAATTCTAAACAACTGTTTATTATATTTAAAAAAAAAGATTTTTATTACAGTGCAATTACTATGGTACGTACATTAACATTGATGAGCCTACATAGATACGTAAATATATATATATATATATATATATATATATATATATATATATATATGCGTAGTTTTTGTTAAAACAATTAATTTATTCATAGAAATTATTATGACTTTGACAAATAATTATTTTGATGTTAGATAAATTTATTTGGAATGTAAAAAATTATTATCCCTAAGCTTTTATTTGCTGAAAATGCATTGAAATATATTACTACAGCATTTTTATTTTTGAAAATATTTAATGCAATATAAAATCTGGTTTGTTTTTAACGTATTGATTTTTTAACATGATATTTTAAAATGTATATATTAAATATTTAAAACTTGTTTTAAAAAATCTATTAAATACTAGAATTTTCAAGATTAGTTTGATATAGTTATTATTTTAGGAATTATATAGAATATATTTAGAGAACCTTTAACAAAAGTAATTTACTTTGCGGTTCTTTCTATTTTCTCTAATATTTTATTATCTTATTGTAATTGTTGGATATGAAACATGATAGAATGTATTTAAATTCTTAATCTACAGTATTAAAAATCAAAATAATTGTAATAATTTTGATGGTAAATAATTTATATGTATGTTATTATTTTCTAAAACTTATATATTAATTACAGTTCCGTACTATATATATATATATATATATATATATATAAATACACGAATAAATGTATGAGTGTGTGTATAACTAAATAAACAGATAAATTAATAAACGGATAAATAAATAAATACAATATTTATAAGTATACGTGGGCAGTGAGGTAGGACCCAATGAACTCGATACCGTACTTCATGTCAAATAGATAAAATAATGCTGATTTAGACTGCTTTTCAAAAGACCTATTAGAATATATGTTTGATGAACAAAGAAATGAATGAGATAAAAGCCGAATTAATCAAATCCTCTCGCTCTTTTAGCATACAATGCTAAAGATCTGGAGAACAAGTATGTCCTGCCTTTGTTAACTGAAATGGCAATAGAAGAGGAAGTGGAGCTTCGTTAATCGCTCCCACAAGCAGTCGGATGGTCGCGCGCGCCACCGCGAGGCGAAACTTGCGGAAAGGGTGCATAAGTACGTGTATGGAGCGACGATGAGGGTAGCGAATGAAAATAGGTCTAGTTACACTTGGGGAGCGAGGCTGTAGCGATCGAGAGGAGGGTACAGAATTGACTCCGCGCTTCTTTCTCCTTTCTAATCTTGTTTCTTCTAGCTGTTCTGCTTCTCCCTTCGTTCAACCTTCCATCCGCACGCAAACAAGCACATACGCGCGAGCGCTTGTCATTTCCCCTTCCCTATCGATGTTGCGGGCATTAAAATCTTCTGTCATCTTGTTAAGCTTTTTGGCTTTTTCGATTAGCTAATCGTAGTCGCGCAAATCCTCGTCCTGTGCACCCTGTCGATCTCCTTCACCTTGGTCGCTCCGACCTACCATTCGTCGTTCCACCTTCTCGACGTCGGCTTTTCTTTCTCTCCTCTTCCATACAATCCGTCACCCCCACCCACACGCGTACTGTCCGAGTATCTCCGAGCCTCCGCGTGCACACTGCACAGTACCCGTCTATCTGTCGGGTTGACCACACGCTCACAAGATTAACGAAGATCGTGCGCAACACCCTGGAAGCATCACTGGAGCTACTACGGGGAACGTCGATCTAGGTATCGAGGAATAAGCGGCCCGAGCATTGGGTCATTTTTCTACTTAAAAGCGCAGCGAAGCTCACAGTCACGCGGGTGAGTACCGCATTTAGGCGCTCTTCTTTTTATGGACCAATGATTAGAAATAACTTTTCCTATAATAAAAGGCTTAGTGCCAACATTTTATTTTATGATTTTAGTCGATATTTATTTTTAAAATTGAATGCAGAATCATGAAGATAGAAATGATAATTACCTTTTGTATGAAAGTTATTTTTTATACTTATCCAAGCGAAATTTCCATTGTGGCCTTAATGTAATTACATGGGATTATTAGTTGTTAATAAATTGAATTATCATGTGATTAGATTTAAAATGGTCTACTAAAGAAATGATTATTTGATTTAGTAACGTGATCATAGACGAGATGTATATAGACAATTTTGTTTGTAGCGCAATTACAGTTTCTTTTAGAAAGAGAATTCTTTTGTCGCTTAAATGTAAATTATTCTTTAATAAGAAAATATTACTTGTCAAAATGTGATTGTGCCACTTTAAAGAATATATTAATCCTATTTCATAGTCGATTGCTTCTGGTTCTTTTATTCGAGCTTTTCATTACGAAATTGAGAGATAATTATTCTCAACATGAATTGTTACATTAAAAACTGTATTAATTCTATTTTCATCATAAAATATGTCCATAATACAAATAATTATCATATATATATATATACATATATATATGATTGGTAAGGTTCAGCAATTTTTTTAACGATAACTTTATCAATCATGTCTTTTAAGCGAAATTTTGTGCTGCGATTTGAAAACAGTTTTTCCAAACGAACAATTTCCTAGTAGTAACCGTCGATTATAGCCTGACAGAGCCTGCAAGAAAAGCAGAAATGTTTGTTACACTAACGTTTAATTTTCATTAGCGTTTAACGAACAAGAAAGTCATCAACATAAGGATAATTAAATGTAATTTTATTTACACGTTTCATTATATATTTTTCTTTTATTAAAGCCAAGAATAAATTGCCAAAGAGACAAGAATTCGAGGGCGCGCATTATAAACAATTTTAATTTTGTGAAGGAAATCGATGGGGCTGTAGAGTATATGTATACGTGATCGTTGATTGCGCTAATCAATGAGAGGCAATTAAAATCTACGTTCATATGTTGTCGAAAAATCGAAAAAGTAATTTTAATTAAGAAAGTGCGCTGATTTTGATGAGCTGCGTTCTGTAATTCGAATACACATTTATTTCACTCGTATAAGCTCCATCGTATAATGTTTTATTGTAATTTCCAGTAATGCACTCATGATTTTATTTTCTACTTAAAAATTTATCGTACACTTGTATCAAGCATTACTTTATTCGATTTTCATTTCTTGCTTCTTATATTTATGTCATAAATTCGTTGGATTTGATGTGTCGCGGCATTGGATTTCGACTGATATATTAAATTTCGGAATGAGAAATATTAACTGAAAAAAGAACATTGTTGGTTGAAGATCAATACGAAAAATATGTAATATTTTACATGGAAAACATATTTGAAAATATTTATTTGTTTGAAAATAAACAGAGTCATGCAACCCCATATAAAAAATAACAAAAAAATAAAATAAAATGGTGTTACTGCATTTAATTATAATTATCCTTAAAATATTAAGAGCTACAGAATTTTATTAATATAACATTATATTAATTATGCGAAGTTTTTTTTATTTCTCATTTGGAATTGATCATTTACACTTCTCTGCGTGTTCCGAGCATTTTCTCGATTTTAATATAGATATTCATTTAATTACATCGATTTTCATTTTAGTAAGTTATTTATTATGAGAACATTTAATAATTGCTTTTATTGAAAATACCATTTAAATGACAAAAAATTGTCATTTAAAAATATCGCATATTTCCCTTTGGTTGTACATTTCATTTAACTACAGAGGTTTTTATTTTATTTTACATGCTTTTTACTTTCACTAATTCAAAAATTAAAAAATTTCTTGCACAATATTTCTTATCGCTTATTCTCCTTTAAAATTACTATGAATTTTTGTTCTATACTCTTTTACATTATATATCTATATACGCGTACTAAGTATCCAAGATATTTACACTTTTTTCCTCTATGAAAAATGCTCCAACAGTGATTTTATAAAATTGCATTTCATATACTCTTTAAAGCCGCTATCCTTAAAATAAGATTTATTTCAACTACATTCGATATATAATAATGAAACAAACATCTTAAATCAACTGAGAATACGTTTTACGCATCGAGCACTGATGCATCGTAACTTGTCGCACCTTCTTAGCAATGACCATTTAAATGTGCTTAGGTCCGTTGCCATTTCTTGGCAATTATGGAAATAAAATCACTGTCCAAATTAACCAATGGTATTGTGCCTATAGAATGGGTTCATCCGGGAGTCTTTTTTGGTCCTCGAGCAACGATAGTGCGGTCGATCCTGGAATCGGATTGACGGCTCGACAAAAGAAGCTCGTGCAGAATACATGGGCCATTGTTAGGAAAGATCCTATCGTCAATGGCATGGCGATTATGATTGCGTATGTATATTGTGTATTTATTATCTCGAAACCTACATTTGCAAAGCACATTGCTTTCAGGGAAATAAAACGAGAATTACAGTGAGAATTCGGTAAATATTATGGTTGGCCAAATGCTAGACATTGTTTAGAGAGTATTGTTTAAATAAAATACAGTGGGCGTGTTGTTTATGTTGGTCAGGAATAAGTAAAAAGTTTGTTACGATATTAATTAGCTGTGCTTGTTTTGTCACGTACGTCTCACATTATTATTCATCTAATAAGACACTGTATTTTTATTTATTTTTTTTTTATCAGGAACTTTATCGTTAATCTTGACACGTCTAACGATCGAAGTATCCATATTCAATGTTTTTAACTGTAATATAAAAAAAATTGCTGAGTAATTTATATATATTAATATTCAAGGCATATATTTATGAATATAGTTTATCAATGTTTTGTGAGATTGTAAGCAGTATTGTATAAGTTGTATAAACATATATATATATATATAATTACATTAATAATCGAATATTTCACAATGAAGTTTTATCACATATAGTATTTTATATATAGATTGTTGTATAATTGAGAAATTTATATTCAATTGTACGTATTAACTATCTAATAAAGGTATATTAAATTCAAAAATAACTTTTATATTCTTTATAATGTTATTTTTTCTAATTGGTTGTCTATTTTATTATTTTCTGTAATGTTTTTTATGTTTTTAAAGAATTTTATAAATTTTCAGAATGAAATGGTTTTATTTTAATATTTGAACAATACATTAAATTGTGGTATAGAAAAATTGTATTAAAAATTTGTATTAAAAACTTTAGTAAAAAGCATTAATATTTTATAATTGTCTTCAGTTTTTTTAATATACTCATGTACATTAAAATAGTGTCGAGCTTAAATATTAATTTCTAAATTTATGTGAAATACCTTTATGTAAAATTATTTTATTTATTTAGTTTATAGACTTATGTAAATTGCTAATTTTTTAAAATTATTAAATAAAGTTTATAAACAAATATTTTTAGTTTAAAATTTAAGCTTATTTAATATAATAATATAAGAACGATCGACATATTTATTAGATTAATTTTCTTGATTAATATCGAAGATATTGTGATGAATATATCGATATTTTATGTCAGCTTTACTATAGAAGATCTATCAATTATTGTTTTTCAAAATATTTATGAAAGTGAATTATATAAATAATCACATTTCAATTGTGGAAGTTGTACTTAATTAAAGAATTTGACTATGGTTAATTGAATATTATGGAAATAGCGAAAAGTGCAAAAATATGCTCCTCAATACTTGAAGAGTTTTTTCTGTGAAGCTTCTTCAAGAAGTATCCCGAGTACCAAAAGCTCTTTTCGGCATTCAAGGATGTGGCATTGGAAGAGCTGTCGGCTAACAAGAAATTTCAAGCGCATTGCCTCAACGTCGTGACAGCACTCAACAATATCATTGATTCCATTAATGATCTCGCATTGCTGGAAGCAAATCTCCTTGGCATAGGCGAGCGACACCATAGACGTGGCCAGACAAAGGAACAGTTTCTTGTGAGTAGTGATATATCCATTAATAATCGATGATAAAATAACGTCAATAGTCTATGTCAATTTTATTCACGCGCACACGTGTACGAACACTGTTCGACGACTTTTTAAATGCATTATTTATCATTGAATTAGGCTTTCATACATATTTACGTAAATTTATGACTGATTGTTTAATATATCTTCGTAAAAAGTGTTTTTGTATTATAAGAGGGATTACATTTAAGAATATAATATTGTATAGTAACAACAACTACAGTAGTATATTATTAATTAATTTTTTTTTATTAATTTGTATAATTAATGTATTAATATTAGATGCTGTATTTTATTTATAATGGAAATATTTATTTTATTCTTTATACGATCTCAATCTCAGCCTTGACTAAAAATAATATTAGAAAAAGATTTATTGTAGATGCTAGATCCTATTGATATAAATAATTATTTGTAATAATAATAATAAATAAAAAGGGTTCAAATACGTCGAAAGATGCATATCGTATAAAAGCTATTAATATCAACAAATTACTCGTCGTGTCTTTAATGTGACATATGTTTTATAATAAAAAAAAAATGTTTATAAACAATAATCAATTTTTTTCAATAATTGAGTACATGTATATGTAATTGTAACTATTGTAAATATAACAAGAAGCTTTCTTTTGAAATGTAATTTAAATGTTGTAAAAATGGAAAAATTCTTATCATTTAAAAAGTTTTTTTGAACACTATTTTTATACAATATTTCAATACTATTTCAAATATCATACGTATTTTTTACTTTTATTACAATTTTTTTTTAGCTTATACATTAAATACTGTTAATTTGTGCATCGAAATAATTTTTTAATCATTTAAAAATTTTTTGCTTGCGATCTTTAATTTAATTTAAATATATAATTATTGTTAAATATCTGGTAATAAAAATATATAATGATTATTTGACAGATTCGTTAAATAGTATAAATTTATATGGTTTGATAAGCTTTGATAGACTGCTAAATTAACTGATTAATATCTGTTATTGATAATAATGACAATGTAATAATCCTTATATAATAATAATATTTTATCATTTTAAATGTACATGTACCGATGGTTTTTATTTTTTAATTAACTAATTGTATTAAAACTATTTTAATAATTAGATTAACCATTATAGTTATACTAGTAAATATTTTTATTGTTTGTAAGATTTTTTTTATTCGGAAATTTATTCTTACCACTTTCAGAAATTGTGTCTTAAGTTTCTTGTCAATAAATAACAAAACTTCCGATTTAAGTCTTAACGTAAGCCAAGACTTGAATTTAGTTTATTTGTTATATTTATATTAATTAGGTCAAATGAAAAATATAATTAATCTAAGAAAGAAAAAATCCATTTAAATAATAATAATAATTGGAAGGTAGCTACTTTTACTACAAAAATTTAATATCTATCCTTCAGAGAAAATGTTCTTGCACTTCTGGTTACGTATATATGAATGAGAATGGTAAAAAATTTCCAGCCTCAAGACAATGAATATTAAAAAAAAAAAAAAAAAGAATGAAATGTCTGACGTACAATCTTGCATGTAGACGTTAAAATCAGTAAGTTGGGGTTTTCTATTAATATTTCTTCATTGTGAGTCCGTCATCTGCGTTGTCTGACTCTCGATTTGCAAGCGAGATCATCACGTATTTAAGCTCATCGCTGCTCTTTCGGCCATTTCCACCGTTTACGCATGGCAACGAGACTCGTAATCCAATGATAATCATTGCCATTTCATGCACGGAGTAGTTTTAGACGATTTGCCAAGTGCAATTAACGAGCTTTACCGTGGAGATTTCGTAACCAGGGCTGAAATTTATATTGTCATCAAATTTTAGCAATCCATTAATTATACGGCTTATGTTTATATTTTATGTAAGAGGAAATTTTTATGATTAGTGAATCGATGATCAGCAAACGAATAATTATGTAAATTTCGAAATTTTCAAATGAAGTTTATCATTTAAAATTGACCTACTTTAATTTTGTTAAAATATTGAATTACTAAAACAATAGATCTTTTATCAAAAGTAAAAGAGGCTCGAGTACCGTTTTAACTTTAACATTTTCGTACGCAGTTAAAAATATTTTCTTATATCCGAATACGATATTTGTTGTGGAAATGTACTTTTACAACATTAATATTTCATATCTGATTACTTTGTACAAAAATCATAAATTTATTACAAAAATGTAATCAGTATTATTCTGCTATCGTTTGATAGTAAATAATAACTATATAAAAGTTTTTTATAAAATTCAGTAGCTATGCACAATGTAAAGGTTTAAAAAATATTTTAAAAGCCCAAGAATAATCGAGAGTAAAATGTAATCCACAATGCATAAGAGTTATATTATTAATGGGGAAAAAACTACTTTTAAGAAATCGCAGATGAAAAGTTTAGAAATTGAAATGAGTTTTTTTTTTTTAATCTTAACTAGAATTTTCAAATAAAAACCTTTAATTATAGTATCTACGAAAACGTTTCGTTAAAAATTAAAAAATAACTTGTTACTTAGTCGAGTTATCAAAGAACGTATTTTATTATTCATTTTCACATGTTGTAGTGCCATATGGTATATAGGATATTGCAAAAATGAAATTAAAACATAGTAGTAGTAGAGTAATATTTTTAAATTAGACATATGATGAATTTCCAACTTAATCAATAAAATTCATTATTCAAGTCTTTGCGTTGTTTCCCGTTAATTTACGCATCGAAAGCAATCTTCGATCAGTTGAAAAGGGCACTTTCCTTTCATCTTTAACTCAATCGAAACATAGTTTTACTGGATCGATCACGACGCTTGCGTCTTTAATATACAATTGCATATAATTCTACAACGACATTATCTTTTAATATTTTACAGAATTTGAAGGATGTAATACTGGATGTATTGCGACAGAAGTTGGGGGCAAAGTTTACGTGCGAGACATCGGTGGCTTGGAGTAAGACGATAGATGCAGTTATCGATGGCATATTTCAATCCTTCACGACGTAATGCAGGTCCTTATTCCTTGTTCATGCACTTACGTATGTCTCTTTGTTCGCCTTTTTCTTTTCTATGTCCCCGCTTGTTCTGTATAATTCTTATAGTGGAAGTAAAACTTATCATTTTTTGAGTTTCGAGATTGAGTCTACTTTACGGATTTACTAATACGTAAGTAGTTATAAATATTTTAATGGTATTTAATCGAATAATGTGAGCTCTGAAATTGAATTGTTAATGTAATTTATAATTTTAAAAGTAACAGTAAGGTATTTCGCCATTTAGAATACATGATTGTATTAAAAAAGCTTGTAAATGAATTTCAAAAATTCTATAGAACTTTTAAGGTTAATTTCTTGTAAGTTGCGATGCCTTTGATCTCTAGATCGTAAAATTGTATCTATGCTCAAAGGCAATGCCTTTATTCTTTCACTCGGTATAATAGTTTAAAAATAACTTTAATTTTTAATACTTAAGAATATATTACAAAACCAAACAAAACACCCGACTAAAAGTTTGGATGAAATAAAATGAAGGATCTTATTTAATTAGTTTATTAAATTTTTAATAAATCATTTTAATTCACACTTCGAATTCTCTGTAATAAATATGTAATCACTTATATTATAGTGAAATTATGTATCTTTGCAATGATCAGCATTTACTATGTAAATGCCTTTCAAAATTTTACATTAATTAAAGATTTTTAAGAAACTTGAATCGAAAATTTTATAAAGTTATGCAGCATTAAACTCAATGAAATTCGAATAACAGAATATTTGCGTAGGAGTAAAATGAAAGGATAATTCACGAGTGAGGATTATTGTGCGCATATAGTTTATTGTTTTCTTCGCACACGACAATTTCGTAGTGGCAGGCGCCTCCCCAACATATAATCCGATCGATCAAATCGTGGTTGAGCACATGTACAACACAATTTCTTTTCCTTTCATTTATTTACTTCTACTCGTTTCTCAATCCATCCCTCTATCTTCCATTTTCTATCTTTCTATCATTACGTGCCAAAATCACTCGCTTCGTTTTTGTCGTTCGAAAGCATAAGTACAAGAGACGTTCACATGTAACATAATAAGTGTCAATGCACTTTACTAGATATGTATAAATCTTTTGGGTAATAATTTTCATTCGACAAGCAGAGCACGAAAAGAGAACGTTAATGCGCACTCGTCATTTTATTTAAAAAAACAATCAATCGATTCATTAGTTTACTATTATTTCAATTATGCTATTTAAAATTTTTAATCAACAAATATTGAATATATATATATATATATGTATGTATGTATAATTAAATTTTGCAAATTTAATTATAAAATGTTTTGAAAATAATGAAAATATTGAAAAAATTTGAAAAAATATGCCATTCATGAAACGATTTTAATTAAAAATATTTGAATGATTGCTTAATTACATGAAAGTAATATCAACTATTTATCAATATGACATACAAATTTTTTTGTAAAAAAATAATCATGTCTTATAAATTTTAATTGACTTAATAATAAAAAAATTTTGTACACGATTATATATCATCCATGATTATTTTAACGAATGAATGTTAAGAATGAGGTTGAATTAAATTTTAATTTATTTAAATTACACATAGATAAATGGCACATATAAACAAATATTTGCAAGTTTTGTTGCTTTATATTTTTATGAAAAATGAATAGTAGCAATTAGAAAAGCGTTTCTTTATTTATTATTCTATATCAACTAATATTTCGACGAGTTGTATAATTTACAAACTCAAAATGTCCTGCTAAATATAATATACATATAAAATTACTAAAACTTGTAGTGATTGCTATAATTGACAAAATCAAATATTAATTTTTTTTAACAATAATTTTCTGTAGTAGTACATTTTACATTCATCCATCTTAATTAATTTTTATTGAAAATTTTATCAAATTTTATGAGAATAAATCTCATAAGCTCAATTGCATTCTGTACATACCGTATTCTGTATATTATATATTTATTAATAATGTGTTTATAATCAACATGAATTGTAATGTACCGCATAGATTAAAATTATAGCTACGTGATTTTAGAATTTATTAGAATTGCACTTCTGTGATTTCACGTATAAACATTATGTTCGACACACAAGTGAAACAATATAAGTATCATTAATATTGGGTGAAACTACATTGTAAGTTTTATTATGAAAATGTGTTTTTATCGATAAAAAAATTGTCGAATCGATAAAAAAAAACACAGAATATTTAATAAAATAATATAAAGAATCAATTAGTTTCAAAATTCATGAATGCTATATTTTTCACCTCGTTGCATCATTGCAAAACTACATGAAATGATAATTTCCATTGATTAGGCGCACGAAATTACAAAGATGAATTCATTTATGCAACATATAATTGGTTTTAATGGAATTCGTATGCGACACCCATTTCTAATGTTTAGAGTCAAAAGGCGAACAACAGTTGAGCGCCGAGGAGAGAAGATAGCCTCGCATTTCCAAGGTGCTGAGGGTGTTGACACGACTTCCGATCGCCGACTATTTGCGATGTACGAGATTGCATACGCGCGGATATCGTACACTCGAGTACTATCTGGGTGTCAATGACCTTAGATCATACGTCACAACTGATTTCATTGTAAGGACACGGTAATGAAACGTCGCACTGAAATTCTTTCGGATGGTCGTGCTATATAGTGTTCATTTAGCTTTGTAATATTTTTTTTGCATTACGACGCTACGAGGAGTATTGTTTATATTATGTTTATTATATAAAGTATTATTCGTCTTTTATAATGTTTCGGGACTGTTAGTCTCATCAGTGAGAACATTCATTCTGTTTAATGAAAAAACATAATTAAGCAATTACTTATGTAGCTGTTATGCTTTCAGTTGAAAAATGTTTAAATATTACTTTATAATATTTCATCGTATATTTTATCATACATTTATATTTAAACGCAATGTTCAATTAATTTTCATTTATGGTTTTATTTGCCATTTAGATGGAGACATTCATTTGGAGAAAATTGTGTGCAGGTTTAATTTTTTGACTTACCTTTATTACTTATTCATTGTTACTAATGCTTTTAATGCTTATAATCCTTCTATTTCACATTTCAATTCATATTTTAATACAATAATATAAAATAATTATTATTTTTTACTTTAAAGCTGATTTTCGTTCTCTATTAGTAGTTGAATTTCTGTTACGATTTATTTCATTACAGATATCAAAGATATGTTTCATCTTATATTCGTCACATCGTGGGTCATTGCATAAAATTTTTTTTTTTCTTGAGAATAGCCCGAATCTTCTGCGTTTTGGCCGATCTGAAAATCGAATGAAATGACTATAAATTTGTAAAAATATTTGTATATTGTCGTATTTGACGAAACTAGAGCAATGTTTTAACATTTATAAATAACGTTTGACTAATATAATCATTCGATCTCGAATAACTTAATAATACTTTATTTTTTATTAAACCTAAAATTCGTGTAAGTTTTTACTATATTTGATGGATATTTACTTGGGTGCATTTGTAGCATCAAGTCATTCTTTTCTAAATTTTAAGTCGTTAAATAAAGTGTTTTCGGTAAGAAAACGTTAATCATTGTGAAATAGGTCGCTTATACATTATATTATTCATACATATAAATCTAATTGAAATTGATTTTTACATTTTTTTCAGCGTTTGTTAATTTTAATACATCGTATTTTACATAATCAAATCGAACGAATGATGCGGAATAATTAATATTCAAATTCCTATACAATTAAATTCCTATAAAATTTCATAAAAAGTTAAAGTAAAAAAATTTGAATGTCTGAATTCTAATATCATCAGACATCATTTGTTTTCCTGCAATTGTAATTGAAAATACCGTAATCCAAAGCATTGTAAAAGTAAAAAATAATCTTGCTTTATATTGGGTTTTATTACTAATTTAATTAATAGCCAAGCTTTATAGTTTTTTATCACGTTAAAATTACTATCGATGCAATATAATTACGATATATTAAAAAATTATAATGAAAGGGAATGCTTAAGAAGTTTGATGAATGGAATTGGACGAGATTACATGAAAAAGTAAAGAATCAAATAAAACGATCAATGAAATAAAATTTGATAAAAAAAAAGTTGTTATGTGTGAGAGCAGAATTTCGGCTAATGAGCGTCGCAATGTAACAAAATTGTTAAAAATTGCGTCTTTAAGATGGATTTCTCCTCTATTTCCAGCGACGGAGAGCTTACCATCGCTCCCGTTACACCTGCAATATTTGCAATTGGCACAGTCATTGCGTAGCACACACACGATTCTCCTCCGTAGATCATTAAAGTCTGGCTCATTGAAGCGGCAGGACTTGCGCGGGGGTGTGGGCTTTTTGCGCGTCTTCCTCGTGAACTTGAATCGGCTCTTCTTGAAAATTTGGCGAGATGTTGGCTGTTGATTTTTGAGTGCTGAGCGAATCATCTCCCGAGATGTTGTTGTGCAGCTGGTCTCGATGCCGGTGCAGCCGTTGATCGGGGAGTCCGTGCAGCAGGTGCACTTGTCGGTCTCCGTGAAGCTACTCCGGGGGCGCTCGGTGTCCGAAGGGCTTTGTTGAGTTTTCGTTGAAGATTTTCATTACGATAAGCAGACGATGGATGCCATGAAAGGGAGGGAAATGAATTTTACCAGAAGAAAGGATCGCAGCTGGACTGCTTTTGGGATCTTTTATGGAGGTATAAAAAAAGCAGGCTGAAAATCGTCACTATCACTAAGCATAAGATAATGCTTAAGGTTGCATGGCGTCTCGGTTCATTGGATATAACCTTTATTGGCTGTTTTTCGTTGTTACTGACGACACTGAGGAAAATCAGGAAAAGTACTTTGCGGGTTAGGTTTTCTGTAAAAAGAATCGAGTGTAAAAATAGAAAGGGTTGTTGTAATCTACGCTTATATATAAATAGTTAAATAAATATATCAACATGGAACATATCGTTGGAATTATCTTTTAATCTCACAGTAATTTTATCAGTAACAAATGTTAAGAGTAATAAGAATAGCAAAGTTTAATGAATATAAAATTATGTATTTTTTAGGGGTAATTGGTAAATTAAAAATTAATGTGTAATACATAAATCGTATAACTGTTTTAAAAATAATAATAATAAAAAATAATAATAAAGATTTTGATATTCAGTGTTATTAGGCTTTTAAAGTATTTACAATAATAAATGAAATATTAAATTAAAACGTATTGTTTATCCCAGCAATATGCGATTCATAAGAATCATTTGTGAATTTCAAATATCAAATTGTTTATATGCTTTCCTACAAGAAAAACAAATTTTTTTTTAATTGAAATAGCGACAAAAGCAACTTATCTTACGAGTTGATATTTTCAGCGGGCAACGTCATATTGCTTCGCTTTTTTTTCCTCTTTCTACTTTTGGCCTTGGTTATGTGATGAATTTTTTGTCTTGAGTGTCGACGATTGGGTAATGGTCCTAAGTGATGGCCAAGTAGATGCGTTGGTACATTTGATTCTAGGTTTACGAGCTCTGGTTGAATTAAACCGGACGATAATTTTTGTCCAGCGTCATACTCTCCTACTACATAGTCGTCATCTGCATTATCGTGGTATGCTGAATATTTATGAGAGGACATAATAATTAATTTTAAGTTTCTTTAAATCTACTCTTTTTTTGAAAATCCCAATTTTTCATTCAATTGTTAATTCCTAAGTTTCGTACAGTTGAATTTTAATGAGTATATTTTATAAAAGATAAGTTTTTTATTACTTATTTAAAAAATGTTCTATTTAAATAATAAATTTTTGTTATGTATATGTCTAAATAGTTTAATTTTGTATTTGTTTATCGAGGAAATTAGAAACATTATCTATTTTGTAATATCAACACCTAACTTAAGTATATAATAATACATATATCATCGTCTGTATACAGAAAGTGAAAATAAACTCTGAACATTGATAAAGAAAGTTTCATAATAATTCATATTAATCATACTTAGTTTCTAATATTAAAAATAATTCTATACCTTTTATTGAAACAACAAATTTATTGATCTGAAATTAGTCAATTCTAAATTTTCTGAACAAAATTAATTTTGCATCGATCGTTGAATCGGATTTTAATAAAGAAGTTAATATCTTACAATCACAGAAGTTACATTCTTACGGGAAAGTACAACATGTGATATAGTAAATATAACTGGATATCATCAATGTTTTGCCTAAAAATCAATAATACTCGTTTATAATTTCAAGGTACATCTAATAGTCTAGTGCGCAGATAATAAAATATAAAAAAATCTTATTGCGTAATCATGTACAATTTCGATAGATAAATGAAAAATTATATCGTAATTTTTCAAAAGGTAAAAATTTAATTTTTTTATTTTACACGAAGTATTATGATGAATTAACGCTTCGCGTAGCAATGGGCGTAACTTTTAAATGTAAAAAATGTATATTTTTTTGGGGATTGCTATTTTTAGGAAGTTAGGATCTGATTGTAATTGGTTAAAAACCATCGAATAAAGACAATTTGAAAAAATGTCGCGAGTAGACTGAACGGTAGTTAAATGTTGTGTATCACCTAGTAATTGGTCACGCGGGTATCCGACTCGTCGGAGGCACTCCTTCCGCATCTCTGAGAGCAACTCCTGCTCTTCTCGTAACGACTGCAGTAGCTTAAGACATTTCGCATTATCCAATTGCCATGACAGGTGGTTTTGCTCCCTAGTTCTCTCATCCTCGCGGAACCTTGTCCATGCAATCTAGAATGCGTGCTAGTGCATTGGCTGCTTGAATTTAAGCAATGGTGCCGGAAAACCGACGGTAGGGATGGAGGTAAGGGATGGAGAGTAACATAGAGGAGTAAAGGAGATTATTGGGAAAACAGGTGCTTTGAATGTCGCTAGCGCAATTACTTTTGTTTACGAGTCGGATCTTAAGAGTTACGAGGGGGCTTTATGGGATGCCGCCAGAGATTTTGCTATCTCGATGAAAGTGAATACAAAAGAATTTGAATAAGCAAACACTGAACACCATAAATATATTTACTAGAAATAATTTTGCATTAGTTTCATAGTAAAATAGATATTACATAACCTAAGTTAGCTCAAATAGAGTAAAATTTATGTATTAAATATTCTTAGAAATCAGTCTTGAATAAAGTATTAAATAATTTGTCCATTTCATTGTGATATACTCCAAAAGCCTTCAGCGACTAATTTTTAAATACGACATTCTTTGAAAGAATCTTAGATTATTATAAACTCTACATACCTTTGATATAAATACCATGAAAATATAAAAACTGCATACAATTTTCATAATGGAAATAAATTAAAAATCATATTTAACATTTATATAAAATTATGTTGTAACCTCAAGACTATTAAATTGTAATAACGTGAATATAGCTCATTTTACATATCCGATCGAAACATATGTGTAATCTAATATTTTATTGTATAACTTGTAAACTTGATTATAGCATTTAATTCAATTTTTAATTTATTCGAAAAATTTTATTTTACAATTTAAAAAAAAAATCTCGTTAAGCGTGTATTAAATTTAATAAGGAATAATATTAATATTAATTAACACATAATCATAATATTATTGCATGAATATCAAAATGTTATTTATTTGTAATACCAAATAATGTGTATTTATTATATTGATTGTATATGGAGAAATAAAATATATTGATAACTGATAACTATTCCAATGTTACGGAGTGAGCATAATTGTATTTTAGTCTGATTCAAGTGCAACCAATTTATGAACGTACTTTCTCAATCCTTAAATAATCGAATTGGTGATCGACGTCATAAATGTGCTTCAATATTTTGGAAACAAATTATAGAATAGAAATTTGAATAGAAAATGAAATATAGAAAATCAGCCATCATAATAATTTGACAGAAGATGACTCATCTTTGCACAGTTACTTTTCATGATTTTTCAATGCTTATAAAACAAAGAATGTTTTACGTATTTTTAAACATTAAAATTTTTTTAATATTATGTATATAATTCAATCATTTTTAATAATTTATTTGAAACTTTGTAAATTACACAAGTTCGTATTGTTTTACTTATCGTAATAAAATGAAATTTTAATAACAATATTTCTCAAATGTTTTAATATATCAGTATGTTAATTTAGATAGTTTAAATCCTTCCCAATACTTAATAATATAATTATTTGTAATAGTAAAGTCTAATTTATTTTTCAAATAATTCTGTTTATGATGAAAATTTAGAATTTTTTAAAACTGTAACTAGGAGAAAGAAGGCAAACCAGTAAAAAAAATAATGTAAAAATGAAAGATCATGTTTAAACAGTAGCGAATCTGTTTCAATATTTAATGCGATAATTTAGGATAAATTTACTTTCATTTTATGAATTTAATCGAATAAATTCTGTTTTTAAATAAAAGAAATCAATGGAATATCATTAATTGTTTTAAACTTTTATTTAAATTTGAGATAAATATTTTATTTGTATAATTTGTATAATTATATTTAGCTGAGCATTTTAGACATCTATAATAAATATTACGAGTTTCATTTGTCTTTTTTCTTAGTTGGTCGTTGACTTGCTTGTTGGTTGTTTTGAGCATTATTTTTCAGAAATACTATTTTACCATATTTCAACAATACTGCACATAATCCAAAAAAAAATTCAAGTAAGTAACAAGCAATGATATATTTATTACTAGCGATCACTTGGTTTGACTTTTTAATTACAATATTTGTGTGTAAAATAAAAATATTGAAAATTTTAATCAATAAAATATTATTATAAACCAATAGCCTATAGATGCATTAATAATAACAACGTATTTCTAATAATTATAAATTAATATGTTTCAGTTCAATTTATGTGACATTAATGAATGAAATTATTCATATCAATTGTGTTAGTAACTTATCTAAAAATCTATTTACATAAACGATATACATTGAAAAATTATTAACAATAGTATTCATAATAGTCTAAAGTACTATACAAACTTGAAAATGTAATTTCCGAATCAGTAGAATGTTTCCCGTGCTGTGTAAACGAAAAAGAAACACAATAAGAGGCGTCGAAGTTCAATAAGTAATGAAGGATAATATTACAATATTTATAAGTAATTATATTTTTAATAAAAAAAAAAAAAAAAAAATTATTATCATTTAAAAATAAAAAGTGTGGCAGCTGTCATTTTCTTATACTTACTGTTAATGCACTAATTGGATATTTTCTAATTAGTGAGCATCAAAACAGATTTTATTTATTTCAGATATATATTACATGCCTATATACTTCAGATCTTATCGGAAACGTAATAAATACAAATATGCAATGCAAAATGTGTAATATTAAATAAAAAGTTTTGAATTTCTGTTATCGGAGTAATCGTTTTTTTAATCAAATACACTTAAAAATAGAATGAATGAACATTCCGATTGTGATTCATTAGGAACATTTCTATTACGATTATTGCAAAATGAATTTGAAATTCTTGGTTTTTATAACAAAAACGATTCAATAGAAAATCATACATTAATTTTAAGTATTAAAAAATAAATCGTTTTGAAAATATTTAATTTACTATTCTATTATACTATATTCTCTATTATACATTCTCTAAATAATTTTTTTTGAATGATTCAATAATAATGATAATTAAATTTTGTATATACTATATTTTATGTCTTCTAAATTTAAAATAATTATGAGCAAATGATATATTATGTAAATGTGTCAGGAATTTAGTACATTTAAGTGTTTAAATTTTGCTTTTTGATTTTTTTTTTTTCATTCTCGATCATAATATAATCGCTTATTGACATTATTCAAAAAATTAATTTTAATAATGATATATAGTCGATAATTTTTAATACAATAATATGAAGTGGCAATTGTAGAAAATCGATAATTTATGCTACAATAGACTCAGTATATTTGAATACTTGGTTGCTCCTCTCGATTTATCAAAATGTTGTCGTTTTGTTTTAACTTTTCATTTTAAATAATTAGCTAATAATTCAGTTAATGTAGTCTAAAACTAATGACTACATTTTTGCACATATTGAAGTTTTTACATATAAATCTATCAAATGACTATTCGTATTAAATTATGTTGCTTTTGTTAAAGTTTTTTCTAAAGATTAATAAATAATTATTCATAACTGCGATATTCGCAAAGCAAGATAATATTTACTCTCAGTCCCATACATTTCGAATACTTTCAAATTTGCTAGCATATCTTTATGCGTACTGATTAGCTAGTGCCTGCATTATACCATTGCCCAAAAAGTATAAGTTTTTTAATAAACGGTATTACGTATTATATATATATATATATATATATATATATACATTATATGTCGACTATCCTCAGAGAGGAAACTAGGCGAAGAAACTTCGTGTGTCGAGCTTTTAGTGCATTGAAATTTGGCCAGTAGCGAAGGCTGTGATATGATGTATGATAACATGGAGAATCGGTTTTGACAGGTCGAGTGAATTGATCTGGGCGATCGATTCGTCAAGACAGCTGTAAAGGAGATCAAGAGCAGTCTAAAATGACGATAAATGATCAAAGGTGATCAGCGAATCATACATTTCCATTTAATTGTGACTTAACGGCGAGTCTATTAGGATCGCGTTAAATTCCCTTTGATATTATTGGTTTGTGATAGCGAATTGGACGTTGATGTAGTCTTATGCTCGTTTCATTTAATATTTAGCTTTTAATGGAAGTGCAAATTATCTTTTCAATTCAATATAAAATATGTACATTATTCAATTCGTCAAATTATTTTATATATGAATCTAGAAACCTAAAATGAATATTGACAGTTTTACAGCAATATGTTGATTTGGAGTTTTTCCTTTCATTGATAATTAATAAATGAGCGATGTAAATCATAATCAGTATTTATTTATTGTCTCTCGATGAGTAATAATAATTTAAATAGGATTTGTTTAATTATATTATAGTTGCTTGAAAATTTAAATAACTTTATCTATTAGATCGAGGTCAACTATAGTTTTTTAATTTATCCTTTCTTTTTTAATAATGAGATTATTATACAATAAATAAATTGCATGCAAACCGATCGCTGGAATAATCATTTATCTATTATACGATATATGATTGCTGCGGAAGTAATCGATAATCGGATCATTAAAGTGTTAGGCTTTCGATTGACATAATCAAAAAGATATTATTATATTATTATATTACTCCGCGCTATTATATATTTTTATTGTATTTAGTAGGTCAGTCATCATTAATAAATGACTGAGATTTGATGTAAGAAAAAAAAATTTAATGCTATGAAATGTTTGGCGAGCAGTATAAATATGTTGAATAAGAAATTATTTGGAGAAGGAGCTATTTTAGTTTTCCATTTTATATATAAAGTTTATTTTTTTATATAAATATAAATTAATTGATTAAAAACATATTAAAAAATGAATTAAGTTTTAGGTATTGGCTAGCTTTTCTTGAAACTATTTTCAAATGTATATGAAAATAATAGAAAAATAAGGAATTCCAATTCCAAAGAAATTCTTACATAACTATTATGTATCATTCAATATTTATTGTACATACGTGCATTTAAAGTAATATTTATTACTACATATATATCATTTGAAATATGTTAATTTCAAATATAATTTAAAATCTAATAACACAATTATTTATTATATAATATAGTTCCTATATAATTAAGAAAAACATAATCTATTTTTCAACGGTTAAAGGATATTAATATGTTAATAGTTTAAAAAGAAGCAATACATTTTTAAAATAAAACAATCTATACACACGCATAGTTTTATTTGTAAAAATTTATACATATAGTTACTTGATTAGCCAGTACATTATTACTATAACTCAATCACATTTTTTATTAATCTGACATATAGACTTTTATAAATAAAAAAATTCAGTTTTACTATATTTTAAACTTCTAATTCATTTTTTAATTCATTATAAAAAATTTATTTCAATCGATTATACAATTAAAAACACATATTATATTTTAATTTTCCATTAAAAATGCCCTTGTAGAAACGACATTTTTGTTTTATTATATGACATTTGACTAAAATTTATCTTTTCTTTATTATCTGAAAGAGTTAAAGTAAAATAGATTTTGAAACGAAAATACAATTCTTATCGTCGTAATAATAAGGATTAATTATACGTAAAATGTCAATACATCTTTTGTGGAGTGCAGTAATATTTCCTTAATAAACATGACCATTTTTGTAAATACTGAGAATGTTTTTATTATGTATATATATATATTTTTTTTTTATTATATTTTTCTGTAGATAAATACTGGTTATTATTATTTGTTTTATGCATATTAAACAGTAATTTATCTTATATAAAATACAAAAAACTCTAATTAAACAAATAATAAGAAATAAAAGTTAATTCGAAAAATATATATTATATTAACATAATTAATTTTTTTATTAAAAAATAGTGAAAACGTGAATAGAATGATTTAAATACCTAAATATATATATATATATATATATATATATATATATATATATATATGCGTATTTCGCAAAAGAACATCTACATGTTGTATTGTAGAATTTCGATTAAAAATCTATTATAATGCATTTCCTAGAAATTAATTATTCGCGAAAAGTTGATTCTAAAAAATTGATCCGCATCTTCGTCTCCTTTTCAACTTTTATTAAAAAATGATATATGATAGTTTTACGAATCTTCCTATATATATATATATATATATATATATATATATATATTAAAAAGTTTATTTGTGCCGCCGATGAATAAAACTGCCTTCATGCTATTGTTGGGAGCAACGGTAATCGAACATGTGTATGCGCATGGGTGTGTACGTAAGGAGAAAGAGGGAGTATCACGCATTCGACCTATTCCAGGGCTGATTTGATGAAGTTGACCTTGACCAGGCAAACATAAGACAAGGACATTAGCGTGCGTTGAAAGAAAGAGAAAGTAATAAACCATGAAAGAAGGTAAGAAAGAGAATATAGAAAAAAAAGTGCGTGGAAAGGATATTTAATAAAATTTCAATCGATAGTAATTCAAATTTGACGGTTACGTTTCGAATTATAATTTCATTTTAAATTTGTTTTTCGACGAATTTACCTATAGGAAGATGGCTAATCGTTTTATTATTTATTATACGTTTTTTTTTATATATGAAATGCTCTTTATATGGAATTATTATTATTTGTTACTATTTTCAAACATACTAATTTATATAAAAATGTCAAACTTTATATTGTAAAAGAATATTCAATATTTTTGTTACATATTACAAGGTGTAAAATTATTTTTCATTTTTAGTAAAATATGTATTTGATTAAAATATTTATTAATATTCCTTTTTGTGCTAATCTAATCATATTAAAATATTTTCAATATAGTATAATTTAATAATTTAATAAACTATTCATTGGCGTATATCATTAATTAAAAAAAAAACGTTAATTATTATTTTTCCAGCTTTTACAGAATTAGTGTAAAAATTAAAATATTTACGTAATTTAAAAAATCATGTCATAGAATATTTAAAGTATCAAAGAATTGCAATTATTATTTAGCAATGCAGCGATGTGAGGTATGGCATTACATTTATGTAAACATACGATTATGTGTTGTAGCAAAGATAAAGTTGTTGTATAATCATGCAACCTAATGGACATTATTCTGTTTTCCATTTGTTCTAGAAACTTAAATTAAACTAACAGTTCACTTTAATTTGAATTTGATTCTAAGAGAGAAATTTTAAAAAGTTGAACGTTTAAAAACTTTATATTTTTTGAATATTTGTAAATATTTTTTATTTTGTAACAAATTATGGATAATAAATCATTAACGCGAGCATTTCATGAAAATCATGCAAATATAAAAATACTAAAGTTTTAAATATTAAATAATTACAAATCGATATAATTTCGTCAAATTATCAAGTAAATTAGTATTGATTTATGCATAAAAAACAGTAATAACTTATTAATTATGAAATGAAC